GAAAAGTGCCCCATCCGTTCCTCACTCGTGAGCGCATACCAACCACGCTCTTCTCACCTTTTCCTCCTCCACCTCCCTCCCTTCAGGACTTGTGACCGCGCTCTTGGACCACATCACCCTAGGTTTCCTGAAGACGGGCAGGTTTCATCACCCTTCTTTATGAAATTTCTTCCATATCTAAAGTCATCTGCCCAGTTACCTTACATTTACGATCCCACCCCTTTCGTCGTCGCCGTCTCTCAACAATAGTATTAGTTGTCTATCGCGTTGACGTTTAGTCTTCCTTCAACCCCCTCGAGCACCGACACGAGCGCACCCCAAGCGCCCCTCCAATATTGGTTCATAGGACCCAGCGCCCACCCCGCGCGGTCCGCCGGCGTAGATCAGCGGATCCCCGCCTGTCTATTATCTGCTGCTGCTGCTGCTGCTGCTGCTGCTGCTCTCACTTACTGCGGGGCTCTACTCTACTACCTCCACTGTTATCCTCCCTGACCCAGACCATATACCCATCATATCTACCTAATCTACCACCTATCTCACTTGTACCTATTCTTCCTACAGCAACAACCACTACCAGTCGGTGAGGCCTGGCTTTTCCAAAAACGACAGCTTCCTTCTACTGCGCCATTCATTTCTCACCTCTGGCTCATATTACGCCGGACCAACTCCTCTCGTCTTCATTCTCCTGTGTCCGATCAAACCGCTATGCCCACAACCAACCGCGGAGACGGACTACACTCGCAGGATATCAACATGACCACCGGAGTGAACAGCACGTCTGCCTCCGCGGCAAGGTCGGGAAACCACCAGCAACGACAGCAAAACGATATGCATCCACAAACCCACGCTGATAACGATAGCCCTCCGCACACAGCCGTCGAGTCGTGGGTCGAGGTCTCGTCGCATCCATCCTCCTCGTCCGTGTCTTCTATCGGCGACGAGATCGTCACGACCGGCTTGCGCGTCGGCTCAAATGCTTACACCCGGAGACGACGCCTACACCCGTCATCATATAATCATATTCTGGCGCAGCAACAGCAACGACAGCTTGCGACTCGTGCTGCTGCTAATACGAGCAGCCAAGAAGAGTATGAAGAGAGCGAAACGGACTCGGACCATCTTCTGTCCTCGTCAACCGAGAACATCACCTCGGTCCCTAGCCTAAATCCAACTCCGTTGCGCAGCGCGTATCCCATGCAGACGGACACGAGCGACGAGGAGGAGGATGATGACGATGAAAATGCCACGGCGCTGGGCTCGCGAAGGCCGTCTGAATCTTTTCGCCCTCAGCCTAATGCCTTTTCACATCCGCCGTCTCACTTACAGCACCGTCACTCCACCAGCTCCGCCATCCCTCAACATCATCCGCGCCCTTCTTTCGGTCAACGCAGCAGCACCAGGATTGAACGACGGAGTCAGAATTTCATGTCGTCAAACTACCAGGCAGACAATGATGAAGCGCTGCGGTCTAGCCTGACGACGCTTCTCAGCTGCGCAGCCGCGGCAAGGGGCCGAAAGCAAGATGATGAGAAGCGCGCGAGTGAACGAACCGCACCAGTAGGTGGCCAACCTGTGAATCTCCGCTTTGTACCGGAAAGCGAACTCATGGAGCCTGCGCCCCGACCCACGGCATCAGGAAGGGTTTTGAGGAGCGAACCTACGCCTTCGCCTCAGGCGACAACTCGGAGTACGTCGCCCGAAAAGGTGAAGCGATCAGCAACGCCAACCCCGCCCAATAAATCCCCGCGGGCTACAAAGAAGAAGAAGATGGCTGCTGGCACGTCGTCGTCGAGCGTAGAAGAGACCCTGATCAGTCCCACCCTGCTTACGTGGGTTGTAGGTGCTGGTGTCGTCGTCTTGGTGAGCGTTGTCGGCTTTGGTGCTGGCTATGTCATTGGACGCGAAGTTGGGCGTCAAGAGACTCTGGACGGCCTGGCAGCAGCCAATGCCAGCTCTGTCGTTACCGAAGGAGGCAGCTGCGGAAGGGAAGCCATCCGGAGCGGAACTGGCACTCTCAAGCGCTTCCGCTGGGGAAGTGGCATGGGTAGAAGTGTAGTTGCCTGATGAGGAATTCCAAGGCGATTCCAAGGCGATTCCAAGGCGATGTGTCGGCATGAAGAGGTGCAGAAAAAAGAGACGTGAAAGGATATACCTGGCCGGACACACGAGTCCTTTATTGGCCACCAGCATTTGATTTTCCCATATTTCGCGGCGTTTTCGAACGGCACAGGAGTTATCATTGCTTTTTCATCGACCAAGGCGTAATTTCTGTTGCGTTTTCATTTTCTAAGAGCTGGGTGCGTATGTCTTGACACGATAGTATACGACGACATGTATCGACGACTTTTAGTGGAATGTGGAATGAGAAACGAATTCTTTCTTCGACCTTCACACAACCATTTTCTGCCGCTGTCTAGATCAGTTCAGCACTCTGGGGAATTTTTCTTTTTCCGAAATGGCGTTTCTTCAAACTATTTAGCTAGCACATGTCGTTTTAGGTAGTGCGAGATAATTAATCATATTGCAGTGTTTTCACTACCATTATCATGGATGCCAATATGGGAATCAACTATACTTTGTTGACTACGGATTTGGGAGAATCGTATTATCTGCGAAGAGTCATGATTGGGATGGAAATCTACATGGTTTCAAGACCCTCTGATTCAGTGAGACTGCGAAACCGTGATGATTTACTTGGATGTGGCATTGGGTCTGTATTAATCTTTTGGACTCGCTCTACAGATTACTGGACTTGGGCGTGGCAATTTGTTTCCACGGAACTTTATACTATAATCATGATACGTGTCACGAAATACCTGACAAGAGACTGAATAGATGATATCCCAGGTATCATAAGAATAGCTCAACCATTTGAGCTTATTTTGTCATTAAATCATAATCAGGCTTCTTTAGTCTTTTACATCGTATAGTCTACGCACTCTCAGAGTCATCTTCATCATCAACAATTACCCGTCTTCTGGGTCCGCGAGCTGCTCGCTGTACGATATCGTTATCCGTTCCATCCGTGTCCGACACTGCCACCGTTTGCGACTTGTGCCTACTTGCTATCTGCTTCATGGAAGGCAAATCATCCTCGTCGCTATCACTTGCCACCTGCCTCGACCTGCCATGACCCTGTCTACTTCGCGCTGATACAAAGCCCGCCATGAATGATGCAGACGGCGTGGTGGGTGACGTCGAAAGTCTCCTCATGCTTGACGTTGGTGGTGCGCTGGATGTGGCCACATCGTCGCCCACAACAAAGCCCTCCATGTCCGAGCCATTGTCCGAGTCATCTGTCAAGTCAAGATCGCTGGTACGCCGACAATCGTCGCCTTCATCAGCGCTTTCGTCATACACACAGGCTGACTGTCGTTTTGGAGCACGATTTGGTGGCGGCTTCTTCATTGGCGCCTTTCGTGGAGCAGCCTTCTTTATAGCAGGCCTCTTCTGCGGTGGTGGTGGTGTAATCTCAACGAGATCCTCCCGCTCTGAATCTGACAATTCTCCCATAAAGACATTGCGGTGTATGGACTTTGATCGCATAGTCTCATTCGGGTTCGAGGGTTTACTACGAGAGCATGAGGTTACTTCCTTGTGCTTTGGGCCAACCGTTGTGGCCGTTTTTTGCCTTTTCGGTGGATGAGCAAGAGATGTTGATTCCGTTTCAGAGTCCGAAATATCAGATGGGACGAGTATTTCTGCGTAATGGCTCTCATCTGACAGTGGTGGCATTTTGTTATACTCGGTACTTGTCTTGATATTTGACATGTTTCGAAAGAGTCTGACGCATCGCTCTGTGTGTTTCCCGTGTTGTACGAGCACGGTCTTGTGTAAACTTCGTTGTGCCAAAGGCTTTGCCGTCAAGTCCACAGATGCAACCACCTGTACTAGGTCCTTGGAAGATGGCAGATTCTGATAAATCCTATGGAGCTCTTCAGCTTGTTTGTTGGTCAGCAAGACTGAGTCTTCTGACGGTATAGCTGCAAGTTCAAAGGTTTTTGGTGTGCGCTGTTGTTGTGGCTGCGCTTTTGTCGTTGGGGCTGAACGCTTTCCCAGCATCGATGCCACAGAGGTGAAGCCCGTCTCAACGCCGTCGGGCATGTGGAACTTTTTTGGTGGTGCCTTCTTCCTCACTGCGCGCTTCTTTGGCTCCGGAAGCGACTGGTTCTGTGTATTCTCAATTGGAATGTCCACGTGTCTCTTGTCAACCTCAGGCCTGATATCTCGTGGAACAATGCGTGTGGAGAGTTCATGGCGAAAGTTAAACCTGCTTCCATCGCATATCATCTGCTGCATCTTGTCATAAGCGTCCTTGGACTTGGCATAATTATCCTCCTCTTTCCCTTGCATTAGCAAGAGCACTACGCGGCCAGCTCTTTTTCTTCCTGTTCGTCCCATTCTCTGCAGCATCCGGATAGGCGAGGCAGACGCATCGTAGCAGACAATCAGATCCACTTGACCAATGTCTAGACCTTCTTCGCCGATAGAGGTGGCAACAAGAACGTTGAAGGACCCTTCTTTGAACTTCTTGATTCTCTCAATCTGTTCAGACTGTTTCATGCCTTCCGACTGTTTCGTATCTGCCTGACCGACGAAGACTGCTGCTCTAATCATAGGTTTGTGACGGTTAAGAACTCTGACAATTTCTTCTGCACTGTCGCGAAACTCACTGAAGACGATGATCCTCGTATTAGAGGTCCCGCCATTCTCCCTACCTTCGCCAGCATCCATAAAATGATTGAGAATGGTATCAGAGAGATAAGTAAGCTTCGGATGACTAACAAAGTCATCCTTTCTGTTCCAAGTGCTGATCTTGCTCATCATGTCTTGGAATTCAGGTGAATCGATAACTTGGCGTTTGTACTTGGGACCCTTCGCCCCCTTATCTTCAACTTCGTCTCTGAAACGAACTAGGTTGTCGTAGAAAGGCTTGATCCCGTGAAAGTTCAAAAGCTTGATAGCATGAGCCAAGCTCTGGAGGACGGTGAAAATGGCTTGTATGGAGAACTTGACGAATTGGTTCACGTTTGGGCCAACTCTAGCAGCCCAGTCTTTTCTTGATTTCATCAACCCAAAAACTGTCATTGTCATGGGATCACGAGCAGAGTATATATTCTGCTGGTTGAGCTTGTCCACAAGTGGCTTTAACGCTTTGGTGAAGTGCTCCCTGCAGAAGATCATTTCTTCCGATGGCTCCAGGATTTCAATGTCCTCTTGGCGCTGGTGCACGTATTGGCGGATATCGAGAGAGTCCTCCGTTCGAATCTCAACGCGGGATATGCCGAGACTGTCAATTACTTCTTGAACTGCTTCGACATTGGATCCAGGCGTTGCAGTCAAAGCCAGGATGCGGAAACTGCTCGAGAATCGCCGTATGAATTCGACAACCTTGACATATGCGTAATTGCCTGTCGCGCGATGGGCTTCATCTACGACCAGCAGGGCGATCGACTTTGGGTCCGCAGCACCGGATGAGAGGTCATTTTGTAGAGTCTGTGGCGTCATGAAAAACACACGTTTGGATTCCCATTCCTCGGCTCGTAAACCCTTGTTGACCTCACCCGTTAAGAGAGTAGTCTGTGATCTTGGGATACCAGCGATATTGAAGCAGGCATCAACTTGCTGCGACGCAAGGGGCTTGGTAGGCGCTACAAACACGATCTTGGCCTTCTTTGTCCAGCGGTAGTAATTCAGCATAATGGTGGCAGCGATGAATGTCTTGCCTAGACCAGTTGGTAGGGCTACAAGAGTATTGTTGAACAGGCCTTCCTTTACTATGGTGTACTGATAATCTCTGATAGCACCCAAGTTTGTAGGGTAGACCCAGGTCTTCATGGCGTCATTATCGATTTCATGATGAGTTGGCTTTTCCTCTGGCAGGTCGACACGAAACTGCCGAGTGTTACTCGGGCGCTGGCTGGACCCGGCAGTCCCATTTTGAGGTGGTGGTGCCGTCGTATTGAAAAGAGTCATTTGTCGGTAGACAGGAGCTGGACCTCCGACTTTAGGTGTAGGCCGAGCATTCCTTGACACAGATTGCGCCGACAGTGCACCACCACCCGGTGAGCTTGAAAATGCATCTGAAGGCAATTCATCGAGATCAATGACATCTGGATGTGATATTCTATTGCGCTTTGGTTTGTTAGCTTGCATTGATTCTCAAACAGCCGAGAGCAACAGGGTTCAACTTACACCTTGACGAGGAGTGAAGCTATTCCCAGTTTGCCTCAGCCTAGCACGCTGAGCGTGGGGCAGGACACTGTTCGCAATTCTCGACGGTGCAGACTGATTCAACACTGGTGCTTGGCTTGCCGCGATGATCAAGTCCTCATCGAGAATATCGTCGTCGAATTCGTCTGAATCCATGGCTGCTGCAAGTGATTTTTCATCCTCGCCCCGACCCAAACTACAGGAATCCAAAAGAGGTTTACAGGATCGAAACGCGACCAGAGCCCTGGTCGAGACGCGACTAATGGCAAGAATGGATTGGGGGTGTACGCCAACTCAGGTGACCGGTAATAGAAGTCTAACCCTTTGCGGCATCAAAGCCCCGCCATGTGAGCCTGATTTTGCCCATTTTAGGCAACCAGGCGCTACCCACTGCTGCTCATGGGTAAGCATAAAGCTGACTCATCAGCAAATAGGTAGCCAAGGTAGCAGCCGAGAAGCTTGGGCCCCAAAATTATTTCCCGTTGCGACTTCCAAACAGCCTTTGTCGTCACTGATGACTTCTTTGAGATTCAGACTTTATTCCTTCATTTTTGTCTGTCTTGTCGGCCGCGCCTTTTCCCACCCCCCAACATCGCTTGGTTTCTAGGGCTGCTTCTACCAACTTCGATCGACGGTGACAGATTCACTCTTCGTCGTCCGTCATTCAACCCACCTTCGGGTTGACTTTGCGCACGACCGATTTCTTTGCGCCGCAGTTGAAGAAGCTTTCCTCCCTCCATTTCTTTCCACCACCATCGTTGCCCATCGCCGCTCAATCTTTTACCTGGGCAACACCGGAGTAACCAAAGCACCGCCCTCAGCAAGCAAACCTTTGCGCAAGGCACCTTTACTTCGCTAGACTTCCTGCCGCCACCCGTATCTCAGCGTCGATTCCGCCTGAAGCATCGCGAAAAGTCTTGCCATCCCCAAGACAGAGATTGTTGTCACGCGGCACCTGCTGCCCATCACCATGGCACCCTCAGGCCCTCGTTCTCAGCGCAACGCGCGCGGCGCGACGACATTAAATAAGACGACAGGCCGTCCCTCTGGTATCAAGAAACGCGGCGCTGGCGGGCCTACAAAAACCGACAGAGATGGCGATCTAGACATGGACACATCAGCCGGCGGCAGCGGCTCTGGTCGTGGCGCTCGTCAGTCGAAGAACAACAAGCCAGATCCGCCCGCAGGACCACGGCGATCTACCCGGTCTACCCCTGCTGGTGGCCGTGGCCCAAAGCCCACAACCCGAGCGGCAGACATGGTCAAAAAGATTATCGAGGGTGGTTCGGGCAACCTGTCCTCGCGTATCGCAGCAGGCATCGATACATCCACGAGACACACCCGCTCTTCGCGTCCAATCAATGGCGCAAACATCACAACTCTAAGAATTGGCGGTTTAAAGGACAGCAAAGCGGCCAGTAACGAAGGCGGTGGTCTGAGAGAGCTCATCATCTTCGTCGAGCGAAAGGCATCCGTCGTTGGCAAGCTTGCCCGGTCCGTTCGTGTCAAGAAGGTAAGTCCGCACATCCGATCCGATCATCCGGGTTTCCTGGCAGGTTACGAAGCGACGCCGACTCTCAAACTCGTTGTCATGCCATAGCTCGCAAGAACGAGGAGAAGACTAGTTTTTTTCACCAAGCAGCTATTGTACACCTAATCCGGATTCTTGGACAATTATCAAGGTATCTCTACCTTGGCTAACATCTAGCAGTCATCAATCAGGGGTGACTTCGTATACATCACAGCAAGTAAGGACGATGCGGAGGAAATTTTGAAACTTAACAACTTTGATTTCGCCGGTGCCCGCCTCACTATAGAAGAAGTCACCGAGGAAACAGCTGCTCCTTTGTCCGACAAGTCGGCGCAGATCAAGGAACAGCTCAAATCAGTTCTAGCCGTGCGGTACAACCAGGAAGCAAAGCTTCTCGACTTGTCGCATCTCAGCCAAGACCCCACCCTCCAGCAGATGGAAATGTTCACACAAGCCACGCCAGAAAAGCTATTCAAGGCCTTCATGGTCATTATGGATGACACCTTCAAGACGGCCCAAGCTAAACGAGATGGCGTCATCAGCATCAGCCTAAAAGGCAACAACATCGATGATGCTGCTCAGATCATGTCTCTTGCCGACACTTTCCCAGATCTGATTAATCTTGACCTGTCCGGGAACCAGTTCAAGGACTCGAAGGCCTTGAGAAAGTGGAGCAATCGCTTGCGAAAACTCGAGACTCTACTCTTGAACGAGAATCCAGTCGCCACGGACCAGTCCAGCGCGGCTGAATTCATGAAATGGTGGCCTCGGCTACAAAATTTGAGCAATATCCAAGTGAGGTCCAAAGAAGAGGTTGAGGCGGCTGCGCAAGGTCCCAAGGTCTTCCCAATCCCACAATTTGGTTCCGACTTTCGTGACGTCAATCGCATTGGCGAGGCCTTCATTACCGAGTTCTTCGGCTTGTATGATACCGATCGACAAAGTCTTGCCGCAAAGTACTACGACGATCAGAGCGTATTTTCGTTCTCAGTCATGGTTGCCCAAGCGCATATTCCCGGTTCATCATTGACCTGGACAGATTACATCAAGCTCTCTCGGAACCATGTCAAGATCACGACACAACACGCTAGATACCAGCGCCTATTCGTAGGCACGGGACTTGTGCAGAATGCGTGGTCAAAGTTTCCTCCCACGAGACACCCGGCACTTGCTACCGACTTCACCAAGTACATCATTGATTGTCATCCAATGACCGGCCTTGCTGACCCAACGGGCCAGAGTCCTGGTGGCGTCGACGGTATGATCATCACCATGCATGGAGAATTCGAGGACCAAGAGCAGAGCACCCAGAAGACCGCCAGAAGGAGTTTCTCACGCACCTTTATCCTTGGACCTGGTCTTCCAGGTAGGCATGATATTCGCGTCGTTAGCGATCTACTGCAACTGAGGGCGTATGCCCCTCTACCTGCTCAGACAGGCGCATCCGACGTTCCGACAGCAACGATAACAGCACCTGCTGTAGATGCAGCTACACAGCAAGAACAAATGACACTGGAGCTCTGCAAACAAACCGGCATGACTCCTGAATATTCCAAAATGTGTCTCGAGACAGCTGGTTGGAACTTTGACCAGGCATTACTTACGTTCAACGAGAAGAGGGTAAGCCGTATATTCTCCCACGATCATAATGTATTGTGCTAACACAACTCAGGCATCACTTCCCGCTGACGCGTTTGCCCAACGTCTCATGTGAGCTGGGCCAGAAACAAGAAGAAAAATTAAACAAAAAGAAAATCAAAAAAAAAATTAGAATCAGATGTCATCCACTGTTGCATTGATACAAAATGCATTCGGCAAGGCGTTTAGGGATCTACTGGCGGTGTGATTTCCCGAAGGAATCAACATGACAAGCCAAGGACTCATGAGATTATGCATCCTTTCAAGGCATATTGTATATAAGGCAGGGGGAGGGGCATTTTTGACAGTGCGATGAGAGCGTGGGACTACTCAGAACGTGAAAAATTACTATCACGATCAAAGTGCAGGTGGAGCTTTAATACCAAGACAACATGATCTCGCTGCTTACATGCAATCCTGTCTTGCAAATGCGCCAAGCTATGAGTACATACGCTGTGGAACAAGTGAACATCAAATTGATATAAATTATGTTGTTTCAATTTCAAGGAGGGATACTATTTTTTTGCTTTATAATTTGCTTTTACTCGCGTCGAATTACTGATTGATTGGGCCCCCACTGCGTTCAAGGAATTCAATAGGCATTTGATGAAAAATAAGGAGATGATAAATATGATGGAAATCATTAAAGACCTACAGTAAAAAGTTGCCAACTTCACCAAGTGTTTCAATGTGAATACAGATGGCGCATATCACAGGAAAGCAGCAGTGTGTATGTCTGGTTATCTGGTGGGTTCGTCGGTCAAAGAGGGTTTGCCTTTGTCGTCACCTGGCTTGCCTGGGTGAAGAAAGCCAAGGGCAGCAATTGCCGGATCCTTCTTCTCACACCGTGGCACCGGGGCACCGGACCTCTCTATTTGGGCTGCTGAATCTGCAAAGAATGTCGCCGATTGAGAGGCTGTACTCCAAGGCGCGGCCCAATCACGTATTGCATGACGGGCTTCGTGAACCTGGTTGGCTGGCGCGTGCGCTTTATTGGGCAAGACACTGGACATTTCTCATTGCAAGTGGACTTGGATTAGTGCTGGTGTTTTCCTTTGGCACACGACACGCAGGGCTGAGCGCTTAATAATGAAGGGTGACGGCTGAGCCAACCGTTCCAAGCAGCGCCAACAACCTTGAATGCTGTGTGCTACTTGCATAGACTCATTTCCTTGTGTCACCAACAAGCGTATAGATCTGCTGCCGATACACCTCATTGCACAAGGAAAGGAGGAATAGTAGCAGTATCGAATTATTCACCAAGGGTCAGCAACGCGCGTGGCCCCAGGACCAAGTTCTGCAGCGAGAGTGCACATGGGCGTTGCCGTTTTTCTATCTGCCCGTTAGTTAGGTGTGGCAGCACATTCCTAGCTTAGATGAAATACATTGTATGGAATACGGAGTATCTACAGCACAATAACAAGATAGAAAGAGCTGATCATATAGCCGCCTACCATGGCATTGGCAGGCACCGCTAGGCCTTTAATTGGCCCTTTTGCTTCTAGTACGCTGAAACACAGGCGGCTTGCTTTTCGTTATTTTTCTTGCTTCCCTTCCTCTTCAAATTCCTCTTAGGTGGTATGGAGCAAATACTTTCCCCCCCACCAATTTAATGGCCGTGTTACTCGCCTGCTGTAATGATGTGTCACAAGGGGTTGATGGTAAATGCGAGCTGAGCTCTTTATTTTTTTCTTGCGCCATACTGTAGTAAACTTGACTACTTTGTATTACCTGTGCCAGAGGTAGAATAAAATAAATAAATAAAAAAGCATGTGGCTAGAGTCCATCCACCCAAGCACGTGGTTGGACGGCTCGGCAATGAAACATACGACAGGCTGCATCGCAAGAGTCCAGCCCGGAAGACCCTGCTCCAGTTGCCCCAAGACCACTTTGGATACCTGCTTGTTTACTTTTTCGATTCGAGACAGGTTGCGCTAGTGTGCCACAAAACGAAATTTTTTGGTCGCACTGCAAATTGTTTAGTACAGCCATACGAGCAAAGCACCACTTTACTTTCCACGTGGCTGCGTAAAGTATGAGGTTTATGGGAGAATATGATGTATGACCGGAACATTGTGGGCCGGGGGGATTTTCTTTCCTTCTCCCTGGCCTAAATCATGGGTTTCGTAGATTATCACATGACGCTTAAGAGGTAGCGAAATGGCTACGCATTTCTAGAAAATGAGCATTTAGAAAACAGCAGCACCACAATAGAGGCAGTGCATGTGCTTCAGTTCTGGAACCGGATGGAGTATTGTGCATTCATGTGCCTGACTCAATAAATGGGTATCTCTTGGTGGTGGAATGAATAAGTTGGGTGGCTGATAAGGAACCGTCTTTCTTTTCTTGGACCAAGGCCGGTGCTGAATGTTATAATTGGAAGGCGCCATGAATTCATCTGATCGTTAAGTGCCTAGATTAAACATATACACGTAGTACATCCGAATCCACGGAACAGACAGACTACGCACTATCTACAATAGTCCATGCCTACCTGGGTATCGTCTCTGATTGCCTCATCACGGTTCCGTCAATCTGCTTCTCGGAGAAATTCCATGGTTATTAATTGACAGCATGTGTGGTGGTGCCTCAAGTGCCGCACCGCGTCCAGCGTCATCAGCAGCCTGCGATCCAAACTGGGGAATTGTGATAGACGTAGCACAAACCAGCAATATCCAGGTCAATCCAGCGCGGCTCCAACCCTCATTCGGCTCTCTCTTTCGATCGTTCGGATGCCAAGCCGACCAAGAGAGACACAGAACACCAGACCAAAGATTCCCAAAACAATCCATCTACACTGTCTTGAGCTTGTCTACACAGCACGTACGTCTGCTGCTCAATCCATCCTGGCTTTCGTCATAGTAGTATCGCAGTCCAACAACATTTCAATTCTGATCCCACTTGGGAGAATGGAATGGGATGGAATGGGACGGCAAAGGGGGGTTCGTAGTACTAAGCCGACCGTTTCTCCAAATTTCTGTTTAGAGTGCACCGTTTTCGAATTAGAACATCCAGGTGGTTTGATTATTATAATGTTCAAAATTTCTATACTGGTAAAGTGGTTTCCTGGATTTGAGGACCAGTTTCCTACCACCACTACTACTATTGCTCTTGGACAGTAAAGTGACCATTGAATCAACCAATCAATCAATCAATCAATCATTCAAGCGAACGAGCGAGCGGGCCATCAATTCGCGAGAGGTAGCGTAGCACCACAGAAAATATTGCGGACAAGGCCCCTGGTCGTGGGCCTTGACCGGCGTCGTAATCGAGCAAGGAGTGGATTCGCTGCGTCCACTGTTCAGGTCTGATGGGGATTGCTGATGGCCATTTTGACCTGTTCAGTGCTAATGTACAGCAGCCACTGCTGCCCGCCTATCCCATCAGAGCATCGCTCAGGGGAGAATTCCGTTTCACCTATGCATAAAAGGCTAGTGCACACGGATGACCTATCACCTATTTGGCGAACATCCAGAAAGCCACAGTGGATTGGATCGCGCGCGCGCAGGCAGCTTTTTGGAGCACATTCCAATAGCATGTTGAAGAGCTGTAAGCGGTTGGATGATTTTCAGATCCGGTTGGTTAGCCAAGCCGACGCCATTCATTCAGAAGTGTCTTGATGGTAATACTACCACTCAAACCACTACTACGTACAGATTACAGCTCCTACTATGTACATCGTGACACCATCATCACCCACAGGGACTCATCAGTTGATGAGCGAGCGGGCCGTTCATCATCCTTTGATTCCCCCCGTGTCCACGGTCCGTCCATCTCACGCGTATCAGACAGTATGTTGCTCCATAGAAGAGCGAGCAACGGTGGGGGCGAGTCCGGATTTCTTCATTTCTCGCATCAATCCTCCTCCTGCTCCTCCTTCTCCTCCTCTTTTTATTTTCCACCCACGACTACTGCGGCAATCTAAGTAATAGACTCTCACAGTTGGGTAGGAGTTCCGTAGACCCAAACTCAATCCGACCGTTGGAAAAGAGAGCAGTTGCATATGTATCCCACCCCTTTCGCGCGCTCAGGTACCCGTTCACTGTTGCCAGCCACACATTGATGCTCTCTTAAATAACAAGCTTGAGAGTCGACTACCTATGTAGGTAAAGGTCGTGCGTACCCCGGTACGTGTCAGCCGCTATGGAAAGTCCGCAGCGCTGCTCGTACATGAACCTAGGCGCGGTACCTGACGGCTCGACCCCTATGAAGTCCCATCTAGTCTCATTTGGGCTTGGCTCCGCGCCGCTCCTAACTTCACTCGCATTTCGTGATTCGCTGTATGCACTGAAGTCGCTGGGGCCCCCCCTCCCTCTTTTCTCCCCTGGGCCCTGACCCTCCTAGCCCGTGCCCCCTCCCCCCCCAGGCGCCGTCCATCCACCAGACCCCCCAATCCACACATGGCCCATGGCCCACGACCCATATTCATGATCACCATTCATTTGCCCGATTGTGTTTCTGTTCGTTGAGTTGCAGCAGTCCCTCGCCGAGCTCATTCGTTGCCTCGCCGCTTGCTTCCTCTCTTTCAACCTCCCTCTCACCCAGTTCGGCCATCCAGCCAGCCAGCAAATTTTCGTGTGATCGAATCGAGCAGCAAGTCTCGTCATAGTACGCCAGGCGTTCTGAAGAAATCAAATCAAACTCTCGTTTACCAAACCACTACTACGTACCAACTCTACCTACCGATCTCTCGCTCTCTCTTCGTCTCTCTCTCTCTCTCTATTGCTCACTCATTACACTCTAACGAAAAGCACCTCATTTTGTACTGTCTTGTCTTATATTCTTAATATCGTCTTTTATCGCACCCGCTCTCAGACATTGTCAGGGGCCAGCATCCGACTTTCTACATTTTGGGCCAAGCATAGCCGAGCGAGCTGCTTTACCTGACCTTGCCTGACCTGACCTTGCCTGATCTTTACCACCCACCTCCGCTTTTACCCCAAATCCTGCGACACAGAACACCTCAGGAGGACGTACGCATCTGGTCGACTTTTCCTGTGTTCCTTCCAACTCACTCGTTTATTGGGAAACAGTTTTAACGAAGGAGAAAACGTTTCCGTCTCAGCATAAACGTTTGCTGCTTCGTCGATCATCCGCCCCAATTTGGTTCAGGAACGGGATCGGCAATTTTGGGACAACACCAACGCGCCGGCCGAAATACGTACCTTGGAGAGAAGGAGGACGGCTTGTTGGAATTGGCATTCTTCGACTTTCTTCCTCTGGGTCAGTCGTCCATTTTTTGGCGACGCAACTCTATTCTCGCGCCGTATCCCTCATTTTCCCGACCATTACTCTTGGATCCGACGCGAGGTTTTGGACTCTCAAGGCGACGAACCGTTGCAGCAAAAATCGCTCTTCCACACTAGACGACTACTTGTCTCGGTATACTGACAAGCCTTTCTTCTCACAACTACGGACCAGGCGCAATCACCCCCAAGGTCTCGAATTTCGTATCCCTGGTGGCTTCTCTAATCTGCTGCGCCTCAACAATTCACCTGCGACGAAACTCGATTTTCGGAAGACTTTTTCTGCAACTCTAACCATGTCATAGTGCCTTGAAAGGTATAATCCAAGCCGGTTGCATCGTTTATCGTTGACACGGGAATCACTCAAGCCAGACAGCAGTCTATTGTTTTGTTGAGGAGAGAGTCTTTTATCAAAGGCTGACAATGTCGCTTCCCCAACCGAACTCCACCCTCACCGGTGCTTGCTCGGTAATCTATGACAATGTTTTATACGCATATTCAGCCGACGCTTTCCAATCTCTGGAATTAGAAGAAGGAGCGGAATGGAAGACGCTGGACAGTGGAGAGTCGGTACAAGGCGGCGTATGCGTCGGATCCACGCCATCCGACTCTTCGCAGGCAGGATTATATATTGTCGGCGGCACATCCTCTGACTCGGCGTATATGGGCCTGCAAAAGTTCACTTATTCGACTGGGAAATGGGAGTCAATCACGTTCACGCCACAAATATCGGATCTTCAAAACAGGAAATGGCACAGCGCAACGTACCTGAATGCTTCCGATAAGATTCTGGTATATGCGGGTGCCACCGACGACATCAAATATATCTCGACGCAGACTTTTACCATCAGCGCATCGTCGCCATACCAGGTCCTTTCGTACGAATCTGACGGAGCTCCCCCGGCGATTGCCCCTATCCTGCTTCCATGGTCGGACACGGATGCCGTCATGATCGCTGGGGAATCCACCAATACCAAGGTCATGCTCTTCAACCCTGATCAGCATTGGTACGACTCTGGAGCATCTTTGGCCAGCCCAATCGTGCAGGATACTAGTGTGGTCAAAGGAATGCTGGTGACTGGCGACGATGGAAGCAAACATCTCTACACTTTCGATGCTACCACCTCCCCCAACACAGTGAACCGGACAGTTCTGTGGGATGGTAGCGGAGCAGCTGTCGCCAGTTCGGTTCCCATCCAAGGGAGCGCAAGTACTTCATCACGACGAGCATTGGACGCTAGCGACTGGCCTACTTATAACTCCACTTTGGCCTCGGATACCACGCGCTCGGATTATTCTTTGGCCAGTGATTCTTCTGGAATGGCTGTCTTGTCTGGCGGTAATGATGACGATGTGCTAAGCATCTTTGACGGCACAACAAACAGCTGGCAAAATGCCACGGCACTGCTGGTTGGAGCTTCGGTTCACTCTGAATCCGAACCTCAGTCTAGTTCATCATCCGCCTCGTCGACAGCCACGGCCTCTTCGACTGCAGTTGCAGCGGCAACGCAGAGCGCAACAACCGAAGCTGCAGCTTCTTCGTCGAGCAATCTGCCACCTACATCGATTCTCGGGATTGCCCTTGGCGTTATTTTCGGATGTGCAATTGTACTGATTGCATTGCTTTTCCTCATGAAGCGGAAACGACAAAAGCAGGCCCACGCGGACGGCGGCCAAGATAATGGTGCCAATGTCATGCCCGAAAAACAAGACTACTTCGCTCAAGACATTCCGCAATCCAAGTTTGTCCCTGGACATGCTCAGCAGGATTCGCAGTCGTCGTTTTCCTCCATGGCCATTTTGATGGGCAGAGCACAGAAACCAGGTCTCGCTCGCAAGGGAAGCAAAGACTCGACCCGAAGTGACGCAAGCAGCATCTTGAACAGGCAGTTCAAGGCTACAATTAGCCGACCATCACCAATTCCCGAGCCTGAATTCGATGATTCAGACTCCTTACCGACGAGGAATGGCAAGTCTGGTGCAGTCGGCGTTGCTGAAACCCAAGTGAGGCCCAGAGCACCCCCGATCGCGACCAAGGACGATGGCACGAGAAGAAGTTCCGGCTGGAACCGCTACTGGTCCGGTGGCACCACCCTAAACATGCTGGGCTTTGGAAATGGGTCATCTCGCAGGGAAACACAAGCCTCTGAAGGCTCCCGTTACTCGGATATGCACCGCATGACACAGGACTCGGCAACTGTTCCTCCACTGCATGTTGAAGAAGGAAGACCGTCCTTTAGCCAGGTGCATACAGAAAGCCCAACAGTATCTCACTACTCGGATCACCTCAAGAATATGCAGACGGCCTCGCTAGAGCGCCCAGTTTCCGAAGTCTCCTCTTCCGGATACTCGAGCGGAATCCCTCCTAGTATTCACGAGCAGTGGGATCCTGCCACAATCAACAACAAAAGCTGGGGTCACGATAGAGCACCAAGCAGCGCTTATAGCCAGAGCATCTTTCCCTCGGGCCCTCGCACTTCGGCTGGCATCAACCAGGCCCCAAGTGGTGTTTCTCGTCAGCCTCAACTGACCATGGCCCACACATCGGACATGAGTTGGTTGAATCTGGGAGAAAACGCTCGTCACTCGCAGTCGCAATGAGTTTCCCCTTTAGCGCCGATCCAAGTGCAGCAGCACAGTTACGAACCTTTATGACTTCACTTCGATGTTTTCCAACTATACCCACACTCGTTCATGATTCGCACACACAGCGTACCCTCCATGGCGACAGTGGTTGAATTGCGATGAGCATCTCTTAGGAGCACAGCCAATGTTTGTTGGTTGTACATTACAATCCGTCTCACCGCTACTCCCACTATCGACTTGGAAGGGGGGCTCACTTACATGTATTCCCTCCAGCGGAACCCTTTTCCCGCTTGGCATCAAAATCGTACCTTCTTGGCATTTTCCCGGCGCATTTGCTATATATACATATTTTCCCACTTTGATTACTCATCGCCGCATCTTCACGGGAATTAGCGAGACCCAGTATTCTGCTTTTTGTATACTTTTAACTTCCCTTCACGTCTAGACATCGGATCGGCGCTGCTGATGGATCGGGTCTCAATTACTTTGGAATGGCCTCGTTTCTTGTTAAAACTTTTGGTCTAGAACTGATAGACCGCTCACATTCGCTTGTGTGATACCAAAATCAGATGTGGTTGAAGATGGAAGCGGGTATTGAACATCCTGATAGCTCTGGCGAGCTTGTTAATAGTTGTTGGAGAAGAAGGAGAGAAAAGAAAAAGGGAAGATCTTTGGTCGGTTCGAATATCGGAGATAGGGAGTGAGGGCTTCCGAATCTCTTAATTATGATAGCTGCCGTCACATTTCCTCACAGGTCACTGAGAGTGTCGCGGCGCTGATAGGACCGAATCTAAAAACCATATTCATTTCAAAACTTTTTGATTTTGTTTGGCCATGATGATTATATAATCATTCAGTCCACTGTGAATAGTTTCGAATATGACTGGAGAAATGCTGGGGTATAATTTACTCTTTATTCCTCTCGATTTCATCTGTTCTTATTCCTGGCTTAACTAATGGGTTTTTCTATCATCGATTTCTCCTTAGTAAATTTCTCTTTGGGTAATCTCTGTTAACATGATTATATAAACTATATATTTATGACTATATGGGAAAGGGAAAAAGTAAGCGGAGAGATAATCCAGATTTGAGCCAGTTAATTGCGTCCCTGGTATTCTTAGCCCAGCTGCAAAGGAGCACGCAGATAACAACATTATGGTTGTCTTGTACTCATGTCCCCTACATGGCAAGCAAAATTAATAGACTTGCGTGTTTTGTCAGCTCTGGATTCTTCTTCTGGTCTTTATATTTCCAATCATTCCCCCCGGATACCCAACTTCAGATCGTCATGAGCAAACAAGAACAAAGAGGGTAGAAGATTATTAAGTGGTAATATTGGTATCACAGCTTGTATGGCCAAAAAGAAAATCCGTACACGGGCCCCCTCTTCACAATAAGCCAAAAAGGCATAGAGTACAAGAAACATGAGAGAGCCGTGACGTGACGTAAAAGTCGGGGCTTGTAAATAAACGAAAACAATTGCTGATGGAAGCAAGAATTCTTGAATGACGGACCATGTCCAGTCTTTGCCAAGGGTAATGACGAGCCGGAACGCCTTTCTGCCACTTTGAGGAAATCAACAACTCTACTCGTACCCCACTCAGTAAATGGGTCGGCCGCCGCCTTCCTCCCACTTCTGGTGGAGGTAGCTCTTTTCCATCTCCGAATCATCCTCACTCTTCAAATCAGGGCCCCACGAAACCCGAGAGCTCCGTCTCCTACGTGCGCTATCACCAACACTCGGCCCAATCCACTCCCACGCTCTGCCCACCTCACCGCTGCGACCCTCACGCTGAGACGTGCGTACGTTGCTGTTTTGCTCAATAACAGCGCGCACTCTTTGCCAAATCTTCTCCCTCTGGCTCAGCTTGTGAACACTCCTGAGAACGTCATCTCGGAGGTTGGGCAAGAACAGCCAAGGGTCATCTTCCTCGTCGCTGATCTGCTTTTGGTTTGCGAGCCTCTCCAACACCAAGTCGACCAGGGCCGGCACTTGGGCGTTGGCGGCGCGGTTGCTGCGATATCTGGACCTGCCATATTGCGCTAGCAAAAGGGATAGAATCACAGAGCCAATCTGGAGGCGATATCTTGCCAGTCCGAGTCGGATTGACCGCTTGGCCGCGCAGGTGAGCGGAATTCGAGCGAGAGAGGTGGATAGTAGGTACGTGACTGGAACTGCGGAGGAATCGGTTTCTCGGTTTCTGCAGGAGGGCGACGGGTTCTGGTTAGTTAGATGTCAATATGTGTTAAGTAACGTGATATTCGACCAAGGAAGAATAGTTAAAGCATGAAAAGTAATGCTGCAAAATCAGGAGACAAAACTCACTCTTGCTGTGTTTCCACCTTGATCTCCTCCCGGGCCTTGATTTCACCAATCGCTGCTCCCCAAAGATCGTCGAATTCCTGGTTGCTCATCTTCTTGCTTTTCTTTTCGCTGATGACTTGTTTTAGCTCCTGCTCTTCTATGGCAGGAGAATCAGCTTTGATGCCCTCATCGTTGGTGAGCTCGCCGCACTCGTACTTAGCGGTGCGCTCGCGCAGCTCCTCAACAGCACGATCGGCCACGGCCTGGACACGACGTACCTTCTCTCCATCCGCTTCGCAAGTTGGTGGCAGGGGAATCAAGCCACCAAGGGAGAAGGGATGCGGCTTGAGGATATAGTCCTGCTCACATCGAACAGAAAAGTCACCGTAGCAGTAAGCATGAGCTGGGCAGGGTTCGCATGTGGGCTCTAGAGTGTCGATGACAGACTGCGGAATTGTGACTTCGTCGCCGAGAACCGATTGCGCCCATTCGGGGACTGGGAGCTCGTTGGGGATGGTGCCAGCAGCACGACCAACATCACAGTAGCCGACAGCAATCTTCTCCTGGCGGAACCAACCTGCGTAGACGGCCAGAACAGTGGTGAGCAAGACACCCAGAGATGTGCCTGCGCCTCCCGACTTGGCGCGGCGAGTTTGGCTTGTCGGAACTACAGCTGACTGGCTGCCCAGGTTTTCCTCTGCTTCAAGCTCGAGTTGTTCCGCAGGCGTGAATTCTTCGCCAAAGTCGACTGTTGGCTGAGGTGGCAAGTCAGGAGTCTTACCCCTAAGGAGCGTGTTTGCGGAAACCTCGAGGCTCCTGGACATGTTAGAGTCGTCGGCATCAGAATAACCAAAGCCATCAACTTGCTTGCGTGGCGAGCGTCCGCTAGCCGATCTTGCCGTATCGTAGCCATACCCAGTGGTTGTGCGCCGGCTCATGGGAGTCTGCTCAACAGCAGGCGAGCTACCGCTTTGGAATGGATTCTCGGTACTGAAAGCGCCCGACTCCCGGCGGAAGAAGCCTTCATCAGACTGCTCGTGCTTGAACACAGGCTGCGCCTGTCTGACCTTGGGAGTGCGCAGGCTGTTTCCATAATCAGGTGTGACATCCGAGTCCGAAGTTTGTGGCTGCTTGCTGGAGGCTCTCGAAGTGCGCTTCGTGGGGCTGCGAGGGGGTGGCAGCAAGGCGTGATCGGGCTCCTCGGACTTGATCCGGGTGGAGGCCTTTCTTGGTGATGCCGAGCGTCGCGCACGCGCACTTGGCGGTGGTGGCGGCGGAGCGAGTTCCTCGGGTTCATTGAAAGGGTTACTGCTCTGGGAGCTTTCGGCGTCAGAGATACCGCGACTCGACCTTTTTGCCTTTGCGCGCTGGTCCAGGATCTTCTTGGCTTGCGGGCGAAGCTGTTCCTCAAAAATCTCCACGAGCTGGGCCTTCTTGGCGTTGGCTGGGTAGTTGATGTTGTGTGCAACAAGGGCAGATCGCAAGCGCGGAATAGTCAACGACCTGGCGTCGAAGTCTGGTTGGAGGTAGTCCATGCCGTCGTAGTCGGACATGTTTGCGGCGGGAGGGTTGGAAAGGTATAGATGATGGTACAAACGACGAAAAGATTATTGCGCCGAGATATACAGGAGGATCCCTGGGTACGTGCCTGTGGATGGTCACGATGAGCGCATTGAATGCCTAAGCACAGAGCAGCAACGCGGCAACGCCGGAACAGGTAGCACAAAGAAGCTGGTCGTAAACAGCAGTAGATAGAGGGAGAGGGGGGGAAAGAGTCGCGAAACAGTCTTGAGCCTCTTGACGCGATTAAGTTTGACGTGACAGTTGAGGGAAAAGGATAAAAAAATTTCCACACCCTTGATGACGACGCGGCAAATTTGTGTGTTGTGTGTGTGTTGATGGGTTATGGAGTTGGAAAACAGGGTGGGTAAGAGGGACCCTCTCGTTGTCTGTGGCAACAGAACTAAAAGAGGGATAAGCTGGCGCTGGCTGATACGATAAACGTTTACTACTGGGTCCCACGGTCCCTACACAGCAGCCAGCAGGTAGCACATAGTTCTCCACATCCCTAGCAAGCAGCTCTGAGCCAGTTTTCTGAGACTGAAGTGGGGAGGTCCCTCTTCCCCCCCATCATCAGTGTGCAACCAATACCCGTTTCGTCCTTGCTATTATCAATACAGAGTAATACCTCGATCAAAGGACCTCGGAATTGCCCATCAAGACGATTGCACAAAGCGAAGGAAATGTGGCTGTGCGACTACAAACCGCCGCCACACTCCTTGGCAGAAAAGCTTGTTAGTATCTCTCTTTATGGTTGAGCTGTCATATGACTTGACCATCTCATTTGCTTGAGTGATAATTGGACATCGAGCAAGGTAGCAGCAGCAAAAGCAGTGGCGAATTGCGCTGTCCCCCCCGGAGTTCTGACAGCTCTGCAGCCTGACGTTTCGTCAACAATGTAGAGCCCAATCACTCCTCTCCCTAGCCAAAGCCTAAGGAGGGCCTTATGTCATCAATTGACTCGGGACACTGATTACATTCTAGTATGCAAAGGACGTTGACTACAGATGGCTTACAGCTACTTGAGTGCTGTTGACACAAGTAAACACAAGCCGCATATGAACCTATAATCTGACAGTGTACGATCAAAAGTTAATCTCTTGCTTTCATTTCCTAGATGCATTCCAGTACGTAGTTGATTGTACAGCTTCCATGGAAGATGGAATCTTATAATTAGTTATATAGTGATAACGACAATATTGTCTACACATGGCAACGTAAATCATCGTGATATTTCGTCTGAGTGCCAACTTTAATATATAGTGCCCCTCCCAAGTATGAAGGGGCCAGCATGACTTTTCAGATAACCACGTATGCTCAAGTTCCTTTGTGAAAATGCATACAAAATTCAGACCTCGAATCCTCCTGGGACCGGGCCTTGTTGCACCAGTCCCTCGATATGCTCCACCCCCAAGAACACCAGTAAAATACCAACCCTTAGGAATGTCCCAGTATTAGGTGCTATTGCACTGTCCGTCACGAAGCTGTTGCTGTTTCATCGGCTGTCAACTTCTTCTCTGCTTCTTCAGCCCGCTTATTTGCGTCCGCAACTTCCTGTTGTAACTGTTTGATGTAAATAATTGCCATCTCTACCGTGCTCGCTTTGCTGTTTGGTGTGTTTGCCGATTTCCCGTCCTTCTTTTCCAGTTTCTCGGCCTCGGGACTGTCTCCCTCGTCATTGCCAATATCGCTGACCATCTTCTTGGGCAAAAGAGTGGCAATCTCTTGAAGTGCTGAATTAATACGGTTTCGCCGTCCCTGTTCTGCAATCTTGTGCGAAGTCCGTTTCGAAGTCAAGTTCGTCGAGAGTTCGCTTGGATACGACACGCCCGGCACCTTGTTGCCTTCGATGATGTTTTGATAGTTTGATTTGGACGCAAGCAAACGAGATGCCGTGTCCTCAGCAGAAAGGCCAGGGGTGCCAGGCAATAAGGGTTTGATGTTCGGCGATATCCTAGGAAGTAACGCAGGTGAGACGGCGACTGAGCTGACGCTGCCTCGCTTTTTGCTGCCACGAGGAGCCAGCATGGGAGTCTTTCTAGGATTTGGTGTTCCTGCGCCTTTGGGGAGAATTTGTGGGCTCCCACTGGATGGCGCTAGGCGTGCCGATGGCTTCGGAAAGATTGGTGATGGTAGAGGTTGGAGTGCAGAGACTTTGGCCGTCTCTATTTCAGGCGGCGAACTCGAGCTGGCCTGGGTATTCAATTGTGGTAGTTGAGGCTTGGGAAAACTAGCAGACTCGGGCAGCTCAAAGTTTTCGATATGTTCCGAGGCCATTTGGCCCGGATTTGTCGCATCAGCAGACTTTCCCTTTGGCGAAATTCTGAAAAGCGTCGCCGGTGTGGCAGGAGACGCCATTCCATTAAGCGAGGATGGGATTGGGTGAATGACATTCTGCTGGGCTTGGATGTGTGGTGATTGCCTCGCCGACCGGGGCTGAGGAATGGGTGGGGGCGGCATATCTGAAAGGGCTTCGGGCGAAACAGATGCGTTTTCCGAATCCTCGGTCGACGTTCCAGAGGCAGGTGTTGACTTTGCCGCCCTGTCGGCTGTCGATTCTGCGAGTTCACTCAAGATCTGTGCATTCATGATCGGCGTCGAGGCAGTCTTGCGTCGCTGTGCCTTGACGATCGGGGATTGGCGAATGCTTGCCTTCCTTGTCTTGGACACATTGCTCCTCCGCGGCTTTTTGGATGAATCAGGCAAGCTTGGGGCCGACCCGCTGTTTTCAAGATCCATCTCCTGAGGTGAGTTGGTCGTGTTCGTGCTTCCTTGACTTGGACCAAACGCTATGTGAGCTTCATTCTGTGCATGCAAGGCCGGAGATGTGAGAGGACTGAAATATGCGCCTGGAACCGTGAATTGTGTCTCGACTGGAAAGTGGGCATCCAAAGGGGTTACTGCAGGTGACACCAGCGGAGTGAAGGCCATCTAGTGATCCAAGGTTAGCGAGGTTCGATAGCCATGCGACAAATGAAGTCTTACATCCTGCTGTTCCTTGAGCCTATACCGATCAAACATGCCCTGCGAATGATGAGGTGTCTGGTCACCTTGAGTGTAAAACTGGGTTGCGGCTTGCATCTCGAGACTCTGCGGCGTCGGCGGCACTATGCCTTGCTGCTGAGCAAAGAAGGCGGCTTGCTGCTCAGCAAACCGTTGTTGCTGCTCCTCCAGCTGCCTCTGCTGCTGCTCTAATTTTTGGCGCTGCAGAAAATGGATTTGGGCGTCGAGATCTGAAATGGTATCCCTGGCGCTTGTGTGTTGCGGCGGCATCATGTGCGACGGTATTGTGGGCATATTCGTACTTGATGTCAAGGGCGGCATCTGATGCGGGAGGCCGATGTTGGTCCCCGTGGCATGAGGAGTCTCGGTACCGCCCATTTGAGTGTCCAGTCCGTCATGCGCAGAATGGCTATGGATCATCGCAGCGCCGGTGGCAGCGCTGAAGCCCGGGAAGTCAAACTGCATGCCATCGCCGAGGTTGGACATTTCGCCCATGTCCAAGTACTGCTGGAAGTCATCTTGGTTTGCCTGCTGCAAGGCATGCTCCTGTGTATTCCAGTTGTTCGGATCCATCATCGCCATTACTCTTGCTTTTCCCTGATCAACGCCCAGAGTTTACCAACGTCATGAGCACGTTGCAGTAAGTTCTCCAAGCCTGGTCCTCTGCTTCGCGTGTAGTTGATAAGATCGCAAATGATACAGCCGTGGTCGCAACTTTGTCTGTGCAATGAATACGACAGAATATCTTGTCGCAAGAAACTCGGTTCACGGAGCGGGTGTTGCTTGAAAGGGTGAGGGGCAGACTCCTCAGCCTTGAACGAGAGAGGGTGGGCAAGCAGAGCCACTCGAGGAACGATCAGTCTTGGGCAACGCAAGCCTTGTTGGCTAAATGCAGGATCGGGCGAGTAGAAAAGCTCGTCTCGAGAGTCAATGTTGAAGTTATAGTAAGAGTAGGAAGATAAGAAGGAGCACGTAGGTGGTCACAGGTGAATAGAGGGACTATTCATTGGCTGGACCGCTCAGCCATTGTGAAGCGCAACCGGACGGCGGGAGAGGGTTAAATTCGAGCGAATAAGAAGAAAAAAAAATTGTGCCAACGTCGTCCTCTTTTCGCTGCTGGGCGGGCAAAAACGTTGCGGAGAGGGGAGGGGGGACGTGACCTCAGGCCTGCTAACGCTACACAGTACGTACAATTTTGGGCTGTGTCAGGGTTTGCAGTGACCAGATGATGGTCTCGGCGCTAGACTGGGGCCTGATGAGTCCGCTAAGTCGTAAACCCTGTCCCCTGTAGAGACCGCTAATGCTTGCGATACCCAAGCAACGCGAGTGGACGAACAGCTAATTCCAAGGGAGTGGACCGAGGGCTTGGGATTGCGTCTCGGGGGTCTTCTTAGGCCGGCTAGAATCGCGAGAATATGGCGGGAGTATGGAGTCCGCCTTATAAGAAACATTGGTGATAGTCACAGTCAAGCTGTACTATAGCGCATTGAAAGTGGTTTCAAAACCTGAACATAGAGAGAGCGAGAGAGAGAGAGAGCAGCCATGACTATTGGTTTTGAAGAAGCGTGGGTGGCTTCTCATACTCTTCAGTCGATCAGTCCCATTCTAAATTTGTCTGGTTACCCTTGACATTGATATCATAGTCGGGTCTTTGTCGGCGTTCTAGTCTTAGTGTTGAAGACCATGGATGGCTTCGTCACAGTGACAGATAGCCTATGTACTGCGTAGGCGGAGAGCAAAGAAAAGGCTTAAATCTACTTCGGTATGCATAGGTATTGGTAATAGCCCATTAGTGTCCGCCCCAGCCACGGTCTTGAACCTTGGGAATGAAGTAGATATCCTCGATCTCTTTACACGAGACCTTTTTCCTTCTGCCTAGTTTTTGGACCCTGATGCACAGTCTTTGACGAAATGGATCAAACTTCTACACACTTGGCCCTACTTATACTAGTAACGTGGATCGCGGAGCAAGATGAGCATAGTCGAAGAAGTTTGGGAGGTAGGAGAGATGGACATCCCGGGCATGATGGTTGGGGGAAGGAGGAGAGAAAAGAAAATTTACCTATGCAAATTAACCAGACGCATGCCTTAGCTAGATTACTCTCGGGTGTCGGTTACTCTGTCCGTCCGTCGACGGCAAAGGGTCCTGTTGAGCAGACGCAACTATCCGAGCAGTGGATCTGATGCGCCGGCGGTAATGCCCGAATCGGCTTCATGATTTCGCGTCGCGTAGCCGCGGAATTAATTCTTAGTCTGTTCGTTTCTCATTGTTCCCGCTGCCGTCGCCGCCCCTGTCGTTGTCGTTGTTGTTGTCGTCGTCGTCGTCGTTGTTGTTGCTGGGCTGGATCGTCTCTGAATGTATGCGTATATAGGTATGATATAGTCATGACGATATATCATCTGGACAAGACCTGTCTCGACCTGTATAATCCGCTGCGATGCTTTGCGCCAACATACTAACCAACTACGTATATGGGATACATATGCGTGTCAGGGGACGAAGCATCAAAGAGGCGTTGGAAAGAAGAAAGGCGACGGACAGCTTCGTTGACCAATTCCCTACACAATATCACTTACTGCCTTTGATATTCCCATAGTACATTGTGCATGATTGAGGGCCCCCCCCCCCCGTGAGTAGTGCATGGCAAGAGCGTGGACGGCATGAACCAGGTCAACACCTCTACTTACCCATGCTAAATCGCCTTGGTCATTTGTGAAAAGGCACATTGACAGCCCCCATTGGCTGTAGGTGCTCGTCTTCTTATTGCTTCCTAGAACCTTACAACGCCTCAAGGCTTCTCAAACAGAGCTGATCCAATTCAGTATTTATATCCGGCAGCAACGCGCCATAAAACGAGTGAGCACCTAAACTAGACCAGTGGACGAGGACATGAAAGAGACATGGTCGCCCTGCAAGACAAAGATCGAATACCAGGACGAGACATCACGAGCTTGACATTTTTTCTAGAGACACATGACCATTTGACATTGCTCTTTACTGTCTTTAAAGCCCTTCCGTGGCCCAACGTCCTCTGTTGAGACAGTACTAAGCCACGGGAAAAAAAGAAGTGTACTGATGTAGTTCCCATGTTCATGACCTGCCAACCTTACCATGAATACCTAGGTAAGGTAGGTTTGTTACATGACACCTTTTACAATCGTGGGGGGTCCCGCACTGCATTACCTCACAAAGTCTCGCGTGGGGTGAAGAAGGGGGAGCTGGGAAAGTCTGAACGCTACAAACCATCACAATGCCGCCGGAACTATGGCCCATGGTCGTCCGTATTCGGTTTCTGTTCGTCACGGTTGCACAACATGCGCCACTCTTGTAGAGTTGGTTGTAGGTAGCACCGGTTCGTTCAGTTGGGTGTCCTCCTACCTACCTACCTAGCTTGGAGAAAGAGACTTTTGTGATGCACACTCTCCCACATCCCACTCACGAACCATCCCGAAGCACCATGTGTCTCCAATTACGAAGAACATCGACATCTTCCTATGACGGACCACTTATATCGGGATTCTATAATGCTCTTGTAAAGTTGGAGATTTGGTGTGAGCTACCTACCATGTACATAAATACCATTGATCGCCGTCCGTAGTAGCCAGCCAGTAAGCTGCAGATATAGGCCTGACCTGGTTCTCGGCTACAAAATCACATGAAATCGGATCGACAAACTACCATGCTGCATCTTACAGGGGTTTCTGTCTACTTGCGTTGGCGCATGGCTTTGGCCTGTCTGGCTGCCCGTTTTCGATACCGAATTGGTAGACTGATATGATGGCCCATTGTAAGCCAAGACTGGGGGTGGAAATTCATGGAAATGGCGTCGCTTATGTCTGGTCCCATGTGGCCCCCCGCCTTTGGAGAAGAGGGCTACTTGTGACTGGCCCGAGTTCTTCCGCCATGGATGCATCTGATACAACAGATCTTTGAGCTTCATGGGCGACTGAGTATATTTGAGTAATGCATTTTAGCTGGGCGCAACCCCACGCGAAAATACTCGCCAATTACTAGGGTGATACCGGTGCATTTGCAAGAAAAATGATTCATTACCGAAAAGTGTAGAAGAAAATAAAAGGAAGCTCTTTCCAGATACAACTACTCAGGTAGTCAAGTTCGACCAGCCAGCTATTCAGCCATGATTGCAAACGATATGCGCGGAAGTGTCAAACCCATGGAAAGTAGCTCAGCTCCCGTCACCAGCGCTGGCTGCTCGGTATATATCATCAGCTCTGGTTTGCAGTTTTCACTCATAACGCGTTACACATGTCTTCTTCAATCTGCTATCTTTTTCTTATTTTTTGATATCTCTGCTTGTCGTTATTCTTTGCGTATGCAAGGCGTTACATCCCATCAAGATGCATTGGATGGATTCCCGTTGAGGCCGGGTGCTCCTAACCCACAGGCAACAATTCTCGATTCCTTCCCCCCCAAAGTAGGCATTGCGTCCTGCTTAGAATCGCAAATCAAATTTATGGATACATTCTCTCGATTCAAAGGAACGAAGCTGACTTGCTTGCAGAGTACTGCAGCTCCTGGATAGTTGAGCCTGATGGCTCAGGACCAGCGGGAGCGACATCGTTCAAGGGATGTTGGCAGTCAATCAGTTGCCTACTCCCACAGCATAATCCATTTGGAATAGTCTCTTCATACTGCACAATCCTGAATTCCACCACATTGCACAAAGCATTGAAAAGAAAGAAAAAGGAAAACGAAATGGTTGAAGTCGTTCTGCAAAGACAGATCCTGTACGCCGCGCTGAAGACAAAAGAGAACAAAAGACGGGATGTACGACAATCCAATGTCGTAATGTGAAATGTGGACAGCTCGTCCGCTGTGCTGGAAAATTTCGTTTCATTCTAAACATCTCGTCTGGCCCCCCAGACTATGAAGTTTTGACGATTGGGCGCGGTGTGGGCTCGTCCGCCTCAAGCTCCTTCATCGTTCCACCAGTGGGACGGGGTGTCTCGTCGGGATCACTGCCTTTATCCTGACACTGTGCGGGCGAGGCCTCGGGCGTTGACTGGGCAGCTTTCAGCGGCGATGCTGCACGACTAAACGGGGAAATCGCACCATCCTTGGAGGGCGTAACGACCTGCGTAATCGGTTCAGAGGTGCTTTCAGAGGTGACAGCAACACTATCATGACTGTTTGCTCTCATCATCTCAATTCCAAGCTTGGAGCTTGGCCGTTTTGCCCGTATAGTTCGCTCCCGAGAAGCGCCTAAATCTTCGTCCTCATCATCAGCTGAATCGCTGCCCTCGCCGCGGTGTCTTTCCAAATTCTCGCGTCTGGACTTGAGCTTCTCCAGCGAACGTCGCGGTATGGGTACCCTCGGCTGTTCTATTTGAGCGGGTGCTGATTGCTGTTTCATCATATGTGCCGGCAGTTGTGGTGACCCTTCTGCTCCAAGAAGGACTTCCTCTTGACTGATGCCGAGCTCATCCCAATCGCCAGTTGCTTTACGACTAATCACAACGGGCACCTCATCGGTAGTGACTGATTCTGAATCACCAAAAACGCTGGAACTGATGGAGTCCTCTCTACTAGATCCTCTAAAGCTGCTGCTTCCTAATCGGTGTGCAAACATGGACGAAGAAGATGTCGGGCTGTCTTCGAGGCGTGCCCCTTCGTGCCGCAAACTGGATGGTGCTAATGGAATCGGCTGTGCAAGGGGTGATAAGTTGTTCTGGGTCGGTGAGGGAGGTTTCCACTGGCACAGGTTTGACAGTACTTCAGTCAGCTTGGAAGAGCTGATTGGCTTTTCAATCAAGGAGTCAAAGTAGTGCGGGGCCTGTAGCTCTTTCAAATATGCCGTGATGGCGACAATAGGGGTATGGGCATTGACATTCTTGAGTTCTCGGACCATTCGAGCAAGATCAGTGCCATTGACCTCTGGCAGTTTGAACTCCGTGAAGATGATGTCGAATTTGATCTCGCTCATTGCGTAACGCACTGCGTCTGAGCCGTTTGCAGCTGATATAGTTCGACAACGAAGCTTCTCCAACAACTTCTCCATGACCATGCGAGAAACAGGATGATCCTCACAGATGAGCACATCCAACGAGCGAAACGTTGGGCTATCGAGATTGATAGCAGACAGACGGCGCGAGCTTTGGCGGCGGCGTTGAACTCGCAATAGCGCGTTAGCTTTCTCGCCTTCATTATCCGAGGAGGATGGAGACATGTCGAAAACTTGACTGCGCCGATTACGATGCGATAGAAGGTCGGGTGCAACAGGGCTGCCATCTTGCGACCCAACAGTCAACGACCTGGATCTCGTAGATGAACCAGTGTTTTGCTTCGGCGTCCCGATGGTCTTCTGTGGTGACAATGCGAGCGGGGGCGGAGCACCACGGCCTTTGATAGGGGAAGCTGCGGCAGAAGTCACCGACTTCTGAAGACTGGGCGGTCCTCGTGGCGCGTCGAAGAAGCTACCAGGCTGGAGGGAAGCGCTAGATTGTTGAGATAGACTTGATGAAGCACTAGACGGCTTCCGGCGACTTTCGGCACTTTGCCCAGCAATAAAGGACACAAGAAGTGGGGATGAAGGCTGGGAGGCCCGATTCGGTGATGAGTTGGTGTGATTTCCAGCAGACGGAGAAGCGGGCCGCTGGGATGCTTTGGCATTCGACAAAGTCCGCTGCACTGGCGTCGAGAGCACAGGGCTGATACCCTCCACAGCAGGGGACGGGGATGTGACGTTACTGATACCCCCAGGACTGACTCCCGATCTACTTTGTGCTGCAGCTGCTTGAGCCTTGAGCTGCTGCACAAGGTCTTTATTTGCTTTATCGAGCACCGTGAGGTTCTTGAAGGCAAAGTTACCAAAGTCATCTGAGGCAACGGGTTCGCTCAGCCTCCGGGTTTTGAGATCACGAATGTGTGGTGGAATATGCAGGGGCATTAGACCTCGCTTGATTTGATTGATATGCACTTGAGACCGGACCCTCGACAAGGCATCATGTGGTCGTTCAGGATAGTCCGGTGTAGAAGCGGACGGAGGAGTGGATTGATCTTCAATCTCCTCTGTAAATGCTTGCAGAGTTGCTCCCCGGGCGTCAAAATATTCCGTATCCTCCGGGTTCTCTGGCTGCGGAATGAACTGGGCCTCATCTTTCAGGAGGCTGTCCCAGCTGATGCCCTCAAAGAATGGGTGGCTTCTGATCTCCTCTCCACCCGACGCGAATTGGTCTCCCCGATTTGCTCCGAGTCGCTGTTGCGTTTCCACACACAACAATTTGTTTATAAGGTCCTTGGCCTCATCTGATATGCTGATTTCGTTGTCGTCTGGCCACATGATCTTTCGGGCCAGAATGTTCTCAAACACGAGTTCGGCCTCACTTGCGTGAAAAGGCGGTATGCCGTATAGAAATTCGAACAAGATACATCCTACAGACCACCAATCACTCGTTTCGTCTTGCCTTTCACCCCTGATCGTTTCTGGAGCAAGATAGTCGGGCGTGCCAACAAATCGCCGATTCGTATCCTCGGGATCGAACAATGCCATTGCAGGTGGCATCATGCTAGCCTGCGGCGGCGTATTCCGATGAGCATCGCTGTTGTGAGTACTGACCTGCTGGAGCGCTGGGAAATCCGGAGATGCAGCGCTTTCAGCTTCACTCATATCGTCGCGTGGCGATCGCACACTCGATTGCGACTGTTTAATCAGGCTTGGTGGCAGCTCACCAAGAGAAAAGTTGTTGATCATGTGTGTCAAGGTCTCGCTGCCACCACTGTCGCTGCGCTGCCCCGAGATGCGACGAGGCTCTTGGTGGATCGCGGACAGACTGAAATACGATGGTTGGGGAAGGCCAGCGCCGCCATCGGACGGTGTCATTTGAGGAGTACCACCGGGAGAATTGTTTCCGCCATGCAGATCAAGAGAAGTAGATCTGGATGACACCATTGAGGTCGATCGGACAAACGGGCCCGACTTTAATAGATCAGGTGTTTGCTCCGAGTTGATGCTATTTAATGCCCGCTTTTGTCGTCCTATTAGACCCATTCTAGACAGACCAAAATCTGTCAACTTCAAATGGCCTTTCTGATCGATCAGAAGGTTATCCGGTTTGAGATCCCTGTGGATGATTCCACGACTGTGGAGGTGTTCAACACCGAGGATGACTTCTGCTAGGTACTTCTTGACCCATTCCTCGGGCAGGCCGCCGAGAACTTTGATGAGAGAAGCACAGTCACCACCATTGAGGTACTCCATTACCAAGTAGAGATAATCCTTGCTGGAGAATGTCCAGTAGAGTTTTGCGACAAAGTCGCTTTCGCCTTGCCACATCATAATAGCCCGCTCAGCCTTGACGTTGGTAATCTGATTCTTGGCAACCATGTCTGCCTTTTTGAGTACTTTGATGGCGAAATATTCTTGTGTGGTCTTTTTCTTTGAGAGATAAACGCTTCCGAATGCACCTTTGCTGATCGGCTTGATAATCTCAAAGTCCTTGATAGATGGTGGAACAGCGCGTGCCATTTGCGGAGCGTTAACGGCGTGCATTCGGGGCGATGGGGGTGGTCTGTTGGTGAATTCTGGGAATGCCACCGAGGACTGTCTGCGATGATGGGGTACGGCGATTGGTGAACTGAAATCACTGTATGGTAGCATGGGTGATGATTCAGGGGAAACAACGGCATCATTGGAGTAAAGGAGATTCCTTGGCTTGTGTATGCGCAACGGGGATGACGGTTGTGCCACTCGGTTTGGTGATTCTTGCCGATGTGGTGACGAAGCTCCCGGGAGGATCAGACTACGCCTTTGGTGCCGTCTCGAACTGGTGGCTCGACGTACACCGCCGAATTCAGAAATTGGTGACTCTGTCCGAGGAGCCTGCCGAGATGTGACCGAAGAAGATCTGACACTCCCATCGCTGTCACCAGCATCACTCTCGAACATGATTGATTCTCGACGGGACTCGCGCGTCTGGCCGGAGATACTGAGCGCGCCACGATGTGATCTTGGCGTGGGGCACTCGCGAGGACTGCTAGATCGAGCAGATCCGATGGCCGAGGATGGCCGCCTCCTCTCAGGCGTATCGCCGAGCTTGACATTTTGCAGTGCCATTGCTAGTGAGGATGGCCCGTCGAAAGATCCAGGGAAGACGGCATCCTCTGGAGCCGTTCCCATGATGCTCTCACTCGTGTTAGCTTCTAGCTGCTGCTCTTCCTCATCTTCAGTCGAGTCGCTGAGGCGTCCTGCGGCGATACGAGCCGCTTTGCGCAGTGCTTCGTCGATACAGTCCTGGACAATTACGGCGAACTCGATTCTAATCCTCTCCGAATACTCCAGAATTCGGCGGTAACGGAAAACGGCTTCAACCTTTTCTTTTGCAACCTTTTCCGTATCATCGCACAATAAAGCCAAACCATGCTCCTGTTCCAGTGTATTCGAGCCTGGAGAGTGCCACTGAAGGACTTGGGAGATGCGCGACTCAGATTGGGGTGATTGGGTCCGGAATTCGCCAGTCGATGTTTCTTTGATTGCTGGAGGGCTAATCTCGGCGGCGGTATCAAGCAGATCCAAGAGAAGTTCAACAATGCGAGCTTGGGGACGACGAACAGCAAAGGACCTTGAACGTGCGTGACCAAACCCAGTCGATCGGTCTCTGGAACCTGCAGATGGTGAAGCGGTCCCTGGGGACGAGCTGCTCGACGTGGGTCCGATAGACAATCCTTTATACTCAGCCATAGGTGACGTGAGCATCTCCCCAGTCAACGGCCGGCTCTTTCGAGCTTCGAGAGCATCAAGGACTTTCACGATGGCATGGCGATGCTCCGTTATGTTCTCTTGGGCCATCTGGACATCCATCTCTGCGCGGTGCTCTTGCAGGCACAAATCGGTGTGCTTTTCGAACCACCACGGTGGAATTTGTCGTTCACATATGCGACAGAGTACCGGCAGAGGAGGAGGATGACTGGCTGGGTCGTCGTTACCAGCCTCTGCCAACTGGGTCAGATAGCTGGCGAGGACCTCGGCGCCTGATCCGAGGGAATCGACAATCAAAGGGGGTAGGTCGATTTGGATCTCTCGCGGTGGGATCCATGGACGGATCATCCACATGGTCTTATTCCGTTTATTAGTCAGTATTCTCTACAATGCAGCTTGCAATAACTCACGTGGCTTTCGCTTCCATCGGTCCGGTCATATATCATGATACCCTGTGCCTCAAGATCCAGAGTGGTAGGCTCATTGTCCGATTCGGAGCCAGCATCCTGAATAGTTTCGATGGGCCGAAGCTTGGAAAAAGGACCAGTGCAAACAGTAAAACGAATTCTGTGACTCCTCGAATCATCCTTCTTCATGGAGATAATAGCATCGCCGAAAGCTGCCTTGTCGCTGACAATAACGTCTGTGATGGGCTTTCCCTGAACGTCTTCTGTTTTTGAACCAATAACATCGACCCAGGAAGGACTGACCCAACGTATGGTTTCGTCCAGGTTTAGATCTACAATTACGTTGAGGGTCTGCTCGGCAGCCTCCCGGAGGTCTTCGCGCTCCTCCCTGATGTTTTCGGTCATTGTTCTTTCCATGGCACTGCCGGCAGCCTGAGCCCGTAGCGAGCTCACAGTTGGCGGTGCCAATCTCTCCGGGTCCTGTGGTTGTTCCATGGCGGCAGAGTTATGGTAGCAGCACTCTGCTCCAGCGGTTACATTGAAGGAGGCTTGACTGGCCTATGCGCTGCGATGGGGGGCCCAGCGGGCTCAAGGGCAAACGCGTCGAGGGATTCGGATTCCGGGATGGTGTTTGACAAAAAATAGTGGAGGTGAATTTCGATGTCGAAGCCGGGCAATGACCCGAAGGGTCATGCGAGGCCAGAGAATCTGGCAGTGAGCCAGAGCTAGAAGATTGCAAGGACCCGAGACATGACTGTCGTTGACGCGGCAGAAGTCCAGGGTCGATGTTCAAGGACCGACCAGATCACGGGCTCACAAGTTGCAAGCCAGCGGTCGTTTGGGTGGTCCGATCAGACAGCTCGGGCTTCCGGTTGCGTCGAGGGATCGAATCGGTCGGAAAGGAGCTGGAGTCTATGGCGCGGCAGTCATGCACACATCAAGCACTCCAAGCGACAGGAGAAAATGACACCGTGAACACAAAACAGAGGCACAGACACAGCGCGAATGCAAAAGTGCAAGCAGTAGGCGTGGGCCAGTGCAGACTGACCTGGCGCGTGGTGGGAGAGAAAGTCGATAGGCTCTCTTCGGGGTTTTTAGGTAGGCAGGTAGTAAGGTGGTGGACAGACAGGTAGGCGAGGTACCGTGGGTAGGTAGGAGCTGGGGTTTGGTACGGTGGGTGAATTTGGGACGAGTAGGACAACCAAACGGAACACACGATAAGACAGACAGTTGCCGGCTGACTTGTGATGACAAGCGCCCCGGGTGAAGTTGGCTTTTCTTTTCTTTTCTTTTTCTTCTTCTCGAATGGAATTGAGTGTTTGAACCGCGGGGTCGGTCAAAGGTAAAAACCATGAAATAAAAAGTCTAAGCACAGTGAGAGGAAGACGGGAGGTCTTGGGGTTACCAGACTTCTTCACCTACCTACCTCAACTGCCTACACAAAGTATACCAACCAAAGTTGTTAGTGTCCATGTAGGTAGGCTTTTGGTAGGTAACCTATGTGGGCAGGGTCAAGGTGTGCAAGTTGGGATGGAGGCGCTAACCAACTAGAAGACAATGCATCCTGAGTGGCAGCACACACAGTTGGAACTGCAGAGCTGCTGATCTGTACCTATCACCCTGAGCGCTCTGCGAGTGCCGGGGTGACACCCATGGATTTTGCTCGCACATACGTGGGTGCTTGGGCCGGGGAAGGTTCAGTGTGCTCTTGTTCCCGCTCTTGGGTTTCAAAACGCAATGTCCTTGGTGCTTATTGATGTTCTCTCTATCTTCCTTTTTTTCGGTTGAATTTTTTTCTTCTATCATGTTCCACCTTGTTTATGCCTTAATTGTGTGTTTTTCCCTCCCTCGATGTTGTTGTTGTTTTTATTGTTGTCATCATTTCTGTTGCTGGTCTCGTCCGTGTCCAAGGTTCGTTCTCCTTGCATCGTTGATTGATCAGACCACGCAGAGATGCAGTACAAGCGTTGCTACTAATGTAGAATCCTTGGTGCACACTTTCCCTTAACTACTTACTACATAGGTAGTGGAGGTAGAGAGCTCTAGTCAAGTCAGTCGGGTATTAAGAGGGTATTCAAAGGAATCACATACATAATGTACAGTAGCCCGTAATGATCTGCCACACGGTGTTGCCGGAGTGCGTGTACAGACTGTAATCTGTACGGTCAGTAGGTAGGTACGAAAGCAGCTGCAGTCGGCACAGTTGGCAAATGCATCATCTACCAGACCTACCTCCCGACATGCCAATATCATCCTGGTACACACCATGACTTGTTTCCCCCCCGTCTTGCCCGTTGGGTCCATGGATGGACAACGAGAGAGAGAGAGAGAGAGACAGAGAGAGGCACTGCAATACCCCATCCTGCGGTCCACACCCACCATCAGATCCATCATCCATCATCCCACGCACCACATAGCTACGGAAGCAACAGAATAGACATACATGATACCGCATAATATTTTATTGATTAGCGCCTGGTCATACTCCGAGGTCCGAGTGGGTGTTATGCCGTCGCCGCCTCATGTCCATGGCCCAGCATTGGAAGGGAGACACTAGGATGATGATCCCTTTGCATTGTGTCTTCCTGCCAAGTCATATAGGAGAGCTTGGACTCGAGAGCTATGTATTACCTCAGACAGACGAACTATACCAAGGCCTCGACAAGCGCTGATGGCCCCTCATCAGGCTTGTCCCTTGCCCTCCCTCCATCATGAGCCCGTAGTCATGACATTTATACCAGGTGCTAAGTCCAAAAAAAAAAAATAGCTCCCGTAGCTCGTCGCCAGCGCATTGCAACCACGGTAGTAGTGACTTGGTAAACAGTATCCAGACACAACAAGAAGGGGGAAAAATACACGGCGCCCACGTGACTATAATGCTATGGCAACTACTGTACAGCCGACAACGCAGCATTACAAACCGAATTGCAGCTGGAGTTCGTGAGGGGAAACTTGAAATGCCCGACCGAGTGTACCAATGAAAAGCGCAGTCTCTCGAAACAAAGCAGGCCATTCTCATGCAGATTCTCCTCTCGCTTGCGGATGCACCCTCCGAATTCGAGCTGCTAAGCTTGTCGTGCTGGGCGCGTTACCCATTTCTGTCTCCTCCCGGCCACATACGCATCAACAAAACGTCGTCTCTCCACTCCATATGTCACGTATATACCTATCAACCTACTTTTCCATATCAGCACTCGTCCATACCTGACACCCTGAAAGAGGGACCTCGACTCCAGTTGCTGTGATTTCGAGGGTGGACCTCGAATATGTATCTGACGATGGAATTCCAGCAAATCAACTGAACTACTATGCGTAACCCAATGCCCGGTTTTTTTCTCCTTCTTCACCTTCTCTTGCTGCTTACCCTGTCGACTACACCATTGCAGTGAGCTATCAAGATAGCAAGCCACGTTTCTAGATCTTCTGGTATAAACTTGGTCGATATATGTCAAGAAACTCACCAACCACCGTAAGTCAATGGGTATTCTATCTTCAGCACTATCCGACATCGAGATCTCAAATGCATAACGATGCAGGATGCTTCACGTAGGTCCGCTGCGCTAGAGAGCAGAGACAAATGTATCTCCAACTTGGATCGATCAAGTCTTGTCTGCTGGTTCTAGTAGGCAGAGGATCACCCAATAGCGAGTGCAGGCACAACGACGGCCTTCCCGCCTGGTCCAAAGCCGTCGAGGAGCCCAGTCAAAACATTGTGCTCATCTACACACCCTCATTGAGAGCTGCTAGTTTGGTTCGGTACATATGACACTATGGCTTATATGAACCAAACCACAAACAACGTCCGCCATAAACATTGCTCACTTCAAATTATAGTATGCAAATGTGTCTTGCTTGCCCCTCATCCATGTTGGCAATGCTTACCACACTGCGACAATTTGTTGAAGCATTTGATCTGTATGGAGATGTAGCATAGTGACAAAAAGCATATCAAACCCTTGAGCCCGTCAATGTTCAGCTCAATTATTCCTCCCTGTCACCTCAGAGGAGCGGCGCGTCCTGATGACTCGTGAATGCAACGGCTGAAGAAGCATGAGGTCGCATGATGCTCCCCTAGACAACAGTAGCCAATCTGCTGTCACTCAACTTCCCATCATCCCGAAGCGCTTTCTCGTCCTATTTCGTCATAGTATCAGTGATGCGCTGCAGCCTTCGAGAACGCGCAAACAGGGATACCCCAAGATTCCAAAGCATGCCTCAATAGGGTTGTTTTCTCAAATTAGCTGCACACCATACTCGACGGGACCTATCTTTTGAAACAAACACATGCATTGAAAACTCATTTACGAAAAGCACAATGGACGATCATATTTCATCTTTGACGAAATTGCAATATACAGGCGCGTTGAAAAGAGAACGAAATCCGCGGATCTGCCTGGTTCGAGCACCAACGGCGAGAGTGACGGAGGGAGTCTGTTGACTTTCTTTCTGCTTGACAACCGTCGCCGTCGTTTCAAGTATTGAGCTTCCGGAGGCTTGGGTCGTCTGCTTTCAAGATATACAATGTCTATCGCACGTCTTCTTCGTCGTCTTCTTCTTCTTCTTCTCATTTTTGCCACTTAGCCTAAATGATGATTCGCCAAATACCGTAGGAAATGTTGATGCCTAGGCGTTCCCATGATAAGAACCGACATGCTGACTCAATCTGTCTTGCACGTATAGTTATAAATAGGTTCAAACAGAAATACACGATCAGCGACGCTGGGCAACCTGTACTTGTAACCAGTCACCGGTGTGAGCAGATATACCTGTTACATGTCGGCCACCGAGTATAGCCCTTGAGGGACCGTGACCATATTCCATGGTGATGAGTGAGCCTGCGCCGATTTACACACCACACGACGCCGTGTCACACACCGCGAACTCGGCTAGGATATCCCTTGTCTAGAACCCAAGCTCTTCTTTTGAACTGTTGCACACCTTATAAGCTGGAGTAGCGCCTCAAAAATCAGGCCACATCTTTCCAGCAACAGCTGACATGGCACACATTCAGATTAGGCGGAGGACGGTCTAGAATCACGGCGCAGAATTGTCCCTTTTCCAGCACATACATATATTTCTTGCATCGATACACCCTTAATGTTGCAGTGCTAGGCAGAAGTTGCTGAAATTGCAGCTTCGAGCACTTGTAAGCCATGCTACCATGACCAGATGGCAGATGGCGATGAGGTTGCCAAATGCTCATTTGCTTGCAGACCAATCCATCTTTTTCTGGTCAAGCCACTCCCCCTTTTCAATCCAACGCTGCTCTAGCCATTTGGCGAGCTCCTCGTCAGTATGAGGCAGCTCTTCGAGGGGAAACCTCCGAGCGTGCACATGGAACTTGTAACCATGGCCATTGGTGATTGCTGGTAGTTTTAGTGTCTCCCACATATCAGGGGCTTTGTGAAACTCGTTGCGATGCTGGTATGCGATGGTGAGATCATACACTGCCTTGACGTGAGGTGCTTTGCGCAGATGGCGAACGGTGGTTATGAAGCCCTTTGTGCGAGGGTAAAGCAAATGTTTCGGCAAAGGCCGATCGTTCTCCTTGCACCACGCCCGAGTCTCTTCATACTTTTCGGGAGTATATCGTGTAGCTTCACTGAAACTGATAAGCCCTGGGCAACGCAAGAAGAAGAACAAAGGTCAGCAAGAGCGCAGGAACAAGGACAGCCGTCGCGGACAGGTCCTGAGTGGCTGGCATGTCAAGAACAAAACTCACAAGTCGGCCACTTTCTGCCCACGATACCGTCAAAGACGCGGTCGAGTTCTCTCTGATCCCGCATCCACTTTCTGCTGACCATTGGCATACCCATGGCCCAGAGACCCCAGCCCAGAAACGGTACGACGCGAAGCTGAATCTTGGCGAACCATCGACAACGTCCTAGCATGTCGGCACGAAGAGCCAGCGCCTGTATCATGTAAAAGTCGGCCCAAGTTACATGATTGGCGATCACAATGGCGGATTCGCCGCGCGGCAGCTTGTCTCCCGATATCGTAATCGTGGCACCGTTGATCCGTTCAAATATAAACTGAATCCATTTCCAAACCGAATAGGCGATGGCAGAAGACAGGTTGTACACTATGTTTGGCGCAATGAGCTTAAATGGCAGGAGACAGGAAAGCGCAATGTCTGCTGCTCCCAACCATGCGACCCATGGGGCTACTATGAGAGCCCCTCTCAGATTATTCCATATAGTCGACATGACGGCTATGGTCAAGATCAAGGCCGATATACGGAAAATATGTTTAACACGTAGGATTTGGGCGTCGTTGGTAATGGAGTGGTATAATGCAGTTTTAAAGCCAAAGGCTCACTGCTCACTACCTGCGGTTGTCCTTCTCCAATCATGAGGTCACAAGCTCGGATCTGCCCGAGCGCAAAGTCAAAATGCTACGATCTCATGGTGGAATCCACTATTACTAACTCCATTGATGGGTGTAAGAAGACAGACATTGCATGGGTCCTCCGCGGCAGCTACGGAAGCTACCTGGTAGCTAAATCGCAAGACTCAAGTATTCTGTTTTAATATATGTATAACAGTAGTGAACATCTTGTTGCCCGGCTCATCGTCAAACAAAATATGAGGGCTCGGATCCTCAGAGCACCTATTTACGTCTAAGAGGCAATCGTTGGTCTTCTTCCTCTCCTTCTTTCTTATTCTTCCTGATTCTCTGCTGAAACAAATTACATATACGAAATGAAACTCAGAGAGCTCCCCTAGCAACAGCAAGCAGTACAGAGACGAAATCAGCTACAGTCGTCGTATCCAGCAAACTACCACTTTACCAGTAGGTTACATAATAACGGATTTATAAAACTCTTGATCTTGGTTTCAATTTCTTTCTCTAAGCCTGAGAATGTGAGCTATATAATGATTAATCATTTGGATACACTGGTTCGAAACAGTACACTTGAAGCAGAAATTTGGGGAAATGGCAGACTTGGTACCTACCTACTGAGGACCCCTTGCCTGGGCCCGCTGTTGGCCTTATGTGCCACTGTCGTAGATGAACTCGGATTTTAAACTTTATGACCAAGGTCAACCAGAGTAGAAATAAAATAGCTTCTCGCGCCCTCGTGAATGATGATATACTTACGATGATTCCGATATTCATCGGATATCCTTGAACGCCACGTACTTTCTGTGAACAAGTAAGCACGGGTGAACCACTATAAAGGTCTACGGTAGATTGTTGGTGAGATTCAGTCGACTGAAAGCAGGGGTGATGGCGCCAACACAGTGGGTTCAAAAGCATGGGGGTCATTCAAATCGGCGCTTATGACTGTGTGTGTATATCTATCTAGGTCTTTATGAAAATGAAAAAGATTCCAAATCGTATTTCGTCTTTTCGACCTCCACAGCCACAAACTCAAACCTAGGCATCAGGCTTGTCGAATTGAATACGCTTTCAAGCTTTCTACACAGGATTTGCTTATTTGGATACGCAGTAGGTAAGATTCGGCTCGCTTTTGCCGTTGGAGGGCGGCCGCACCATCGAAACATTCACGGATCGACCCTAGGCCAGGCCCTCACCTATCGCATCGCGGGGTTCGCGGCCAACGTCAAGGATCTAACGTCAGCAAGTTCCTCAGACATTTTCAAGTAAACTGCGTTTCATCGTCCCTCACAGAACAGCCACAGCTGTCGCATTACATATTGCAATACAAATTGATCGAATTCCCATCGCCGCGGCCCTCGATCGTCCGATATTCTCCATCTGGGCCGGCGCATCGCCGCCGCAATCATTATCACACCACATACAGAGGCAAGCGGGCTAGCAGCGCCAGTTGGAGATTCTGTCGGGTGCGTAGCTTGGGCATCTCTACTCTTGTCTTCCCACTATCATCACCAATTGGGCTCATGGTGTAGAACAAGACTGAGCATTGGATGCCAACTAGACGATTTGGCACCATGCTTCCTTCGCGATGTATTCCACGGCGCAATGATGGCAAAGATGGCTAACGCCAGATATCCAGGGATATTTCCACCATCGATATTCCCGAGTCCCGTCAATGAGAACTTACGCACTCACCACGTAAACGTATCCGAGCGAAACAATCCATGTCGTCGTCAAACTCGCCCCCGCAAGCGGGTGGCTCCATGGACAGCCAGGACAAGGGGGCTCTGGGTTCCCTAAATTTAGGGTTTTTGAAGACATTGACTGAAAAGAAGACAACAAGAGATGGCCTGACGCCAAAGAGGCGGGGTCCCAAGCCAGACAGCAAGCCGGCACTGACCCGTCGGCAAGAACTGAACCGACAAGCGCAGAGGTATATGGGACGACTCATTATGCAGCGCATCCCTTACTGACCAGAGACATCAGAACACACCGTGAGCGAAAAGAACTCTACATCAAGGCCCTGGAAGATGAAGTTCTGCGCCTCAAAGAGGTGTTCAGCAACGTGACGCAAGACAAAGACAAGCTAGCTGAGGAGAATAGGCAACTCAAGCTGCTCCTTGCTCAGAACGGGTCGATCGGGAACCTGGATGACATGACCAGTACGCCCAGCCTGGGATATAATACATCAAGCCCGAGTGTCTCCGGCACGTCCGGAAGCTACGCACCTGCTTCGAGCGCAACCACGTATACGCCACCCATGACATCGCAGTCATCCAATGCGCCACCAGCCACAGCGACATCACAAATGATGCCGACCCAACAACACGGCGTCCCACAACAGAGTCAACACTCGAGAAGTCTGAGTCAGCAGCAACGTGTGGACTATGAACAGGCAGGGATAGATTTCGTTTTATCGTACGAGAACCCCGACCACTCCACTAAGACATATACATCATCTCCTCCCCATTGATTCGTGGCACTGAAAGCGATTTGCAAGTATGTGAAGTTCGGGTCAATGCAGGACTGTACCAAAGCTGCGTGATGAGGCTTGCTAATCGCAGTCGTCTTGCACGAGATAGACTCGAGGCACCATGCATGGATCACATGCCTTGGCTAGTTGAAAGAGCCAGCGAGGCCGGTGGTGACCCTTGTGGACACGCACTCATGGCGTCTTGCCCTCCCGAGCCGTTCAGCGAGCTCAACGATGAGATCCCTTTCGGTTACAACCACGCCCAACCGGAGCAGAACAGGTCTGGCCAGCGGACGTGGGAGCTCTCAAAGGCAGACCTAGCAACTCTGCTTGACTTGAGCAAGAAACTCGACCTTGATGGCGAGATTACACCAGTCATGGCATGGGGCGTTATTCTTCAGCATCCACGATTTGCGGAGCTGCGACTGGAGGACGTTCACAAGCTTTCGGACGAGCTGAAAGGCAAAGTTCGCTGTTATGGGTGAGTGATGGACTTCTATCCGCCTGGATTGTCTCGCTAACGTATACATAGATTTGGTGCAGTCTTGGAAGAATTTGAGGTCCGCGACGCGTTAAATGCTGTCTTCTCAACCAAGCCGGAGCTCAATGTCGCCTTTTAAGGCCTCACAAGTCGAGAATATTCTTTTATGGAGGACGGTTACGGTGCAATGTTACAACGAAGATTTTCTAGGATATCCATGTATTGCCTGTCTCAGCATGTATATAGTAGTAGTTCCCTTTCAATCGTGTTCCCTCCTCTGAAGAGAAAATGAAGCAAATCTGTCGATGCCCATCCGACAGCGACAGCATGTGGCGACTTGAACCCAATGTGTTAATAGCAAGCCAGAGCGATGACATATGTTAGTGATGATCTGTAATTTCAAGTTGTCGAGGAAACAAAGCGAATAGAGGAATGAATAAGACCTTGTACATGAAGATATAGAGTGTTTGAAGATGTGTAGGTCGTGCACCGTGTGTAGAAAACAGATATTGCCAGAAAAGATTAACGCACTATACAGAGGTCGCTCCCAAAAGTCTTGAGTGCCCCCACTTATTTGACTATAGGCCCACACCAGTGCCAACCAGCTATCACTTTATCTGCAGCTATAATCACACCGCTAAATAAAACAATTTAAGCCCACTTATACGTGGTTCTATTAAATAACATATTAAATAACACATTAATAAGGTGAAATTAACGATAAAACTGCTACGAATTCGTTATTATATTAGGATTTAGTGATTTAATTAGTTGAATTAAATTAAATATAATAAATTATAATTGCTAATTAATTAAAGTTTTAATAATCACCATATTATATAATTTATTTTATAACACATCTTAATATTATATATTATAACACATTTCCAGCCACTTTAATTATAATAGTAAATTAATCCACCACTTTTATTATTTCTTATTCTTATATAAATATTGCTAATAAGGCTATAATCGTTTTTTTAAAATCCCCGCAATTTAATTAGTTAGCTCCCCGAATCTTTATTTTATTCGGGCTTAATAACTTTAGCAAAAAGGTGTTTTTAAAGTTAATTATTAATAAAATATATAAACGAGCTATAAATTATAGCTATAATCCCGCTAATTAGACCCTTTAAATTAAGCTTAAGTATTTGGAAAATGCTTCCCGATCCGGAAGGCCCAAGAAATAAACCGAGGAAATAACTAATTAAATATTAAAAATCGTTCGCAAAAACCGTTATAGCCGGGAAAAAAATTGCAAAATTATAACTATAAAGCTACGGGAATAATTTAATATTAACGTTAAATATATAACTATTTAACGCACTTTAAAAAAATTGCGGATGCGAAAAACGAAACCCATAAAAAAGCCTGGTTTAATACCTAAAATAATAGCAGCCAAACTTTAATTTGCAAAAGACCACGAATATTAAACTATAAAGGACTAAAAAAAGGTTATATAATCCGATAAAATTAGTATAATAATTAGTTAGAAACGAAGAAATTATAAGGTTTGGCGCACCCCCGATAAAGCCTTTTTTAAGGGTTATATACGTCCCCGTTAAAAAGGCTATAATAAGTTTATATTTTAGGGTGCCTTTAGCTAAGACTTTATAAGCCCCTACCATTATTAAAATCGAAAGTTGGCACCTTAAAAAAGGAAGGCTATAAAGGACGTTAATGTTCTAAGGTATGATTGGTGGATTATAAACTTAGGCATAGGGAAGCGTTTATATAATTCGTAGAATCAGGCCGTAAAAAGTAATTATAAGGCTATATAACTGATTTATTAAAGCTTAAGGAAAGAATAACTAACTACGGAGGAATAACTACCTTTTATACCTATAAAATCAACTAATAAGAACATTTTGGAATATATTACTAATAAATTAAATTTATAATTAAATTAATTAGTAATAAAGTTGATTTATAAACGAAAAAACTATCGAAATCCATAGATTTCTATAATATGGGTTACCCTATAACCCTGGGACCACTATGGCTAGGTGCACTGGCCACACTTAGTGGGGCTTAATCTAGTGGAACGTTCTATTGGATTCTAATTGTTGATCAAGGTGGTGCTTTCCTATTGGAGTTTAAACTGGTCTGATATGGGTGTCAATTGTGTGATGTATTGATCTATGTTCTGCGCCTCTTAGTTTTGATGAGGTGTACGCTTATTTGGGTGGCCCCGGCTAATCCCCGGGAGGTCCCGTACATCTATCTGAACACTATGGGGTTGATCCGTGTGCTCAAGCACACCCCAGTGTATGGGAACCATAATCCACCATCTGACACTAATGGGTTCTAATAGCCATAATAGCCACAATAATCAACTATAATAACTTATTAATTATATAGCACTATAAATAATAGCTATAAGTGGTGCTATATTAATTATAAATTAATATAAGGTAAATTCCACTAATTTCCTATATATCGTTATTTAACGATATTTCGATGGGTTTTATAGCTATTATAACGATATAATATGCGTTATAAAGCTAATTTTATGCATTATACGATATTATATTAATATCCGTATAATACTCCCCCTATTAAATAATATCGGTTAAATTTAATAATTTAATAAATTTTTAAAATTTATCTTTAGGAAATGGCTTTATAAAGCCGTTTACTAATATATCGTTAGTTAAAATATATTCGATTCGAATATTTTTATTTTTAACCTTTTGCCGTACGTAAAAATACCGTATAACAATATATTTAATACGTTAATAATATTCCGGATTATATACCAAATTTATAGCCCCCGTATTATCTCTTTTAATTAATACGGTATTTATATTAATTCTAATTTCCGTAAAAAAAATTTTCAGCCATATTGCTTTACGGGTAGCCTGCTCTAACCCGTTAAATTTGTGATACAGTTAAAGGAGCATGTGAAGTAGGTTTGAAAGAGTTATAATATTAAAGTAAGCTGAGAGCGTTAAAAGGTATGGGTATGGTTACAAGGTGTATTATATTTATTTAAGTTCTAATTAAAAAGGGAGCATATAATCCTATTTATATATTTATTTATTAAAAAGATTTGTTAATTTCCTTGGAGCGTACGGATTTTATCCGTAAACTCCTTGCTTTTAATAGGGATATCTATATACTCTCTATATCTAGTATTTTAAAAATCTTTAAGGTCTAATTAATTGCTATATACTCCTTAAGCTTTTAAAGCGTCTTTTAAAAGCTTAATAAAAATATATTAATTAGATAGCCTTTTAAAATCTTTGTTTTTAAATTGGATTAAATATAAAAATAGAGATCCCAAGCTTTTTTAAATATTTATCCCGTATTCTCTTTAAGGTTTACTTTATTTTTGCCGTTTTTATTTTAAAGGTTGAATTTAGTTATTAAATTACCGGTTAATAATAGGTTTTTTTGGCGATAGTTATTTTTGCCTGCTATATATAAATCCGGATTAAAAAAGCTTTTTTATATTTTTACTTTTTATTTAAGTATTTTTTTATAAAAATTCCTTTATTTATAAATTTTCTCTTAAAAATAACTTTTTTATACGCTATTTATTTAGAGATTTTTTTTTTTTTTATTAATATTTATTTTTAGTATTTAATAATTAGGTTTGGATAAATTTTAGATTTTTTTTTTATTTAGTTGTATTTGCTTTTAATTTTTTACGCTTTTTAAATTTTTTTAGTATAGGCTTGCTTAGCTAGAGTTTTTTTTTCTTTCTCACCACGTTTATACCTTTTTAAACTAGTGCTTTAAGCTCTCCTTTTTTTTCGTGATGGTTAAAAAATCTAGTAATAATTATATTCGATAAAGTATAATAATTAGTTTTATCGATTCTTTTATTATTAGGCCTTTAATAATTATTTTAGGTATATTTTTGCTAATTTATATTTATTTGGCGTTTTTGCCCGAATTAAAAAATAGTGGTTTATTTAATTAGATTAATTGTTTTATTTATAAATAGCTTATTTCTTATTGCTTCCTAAATTTTTTTTTTTTTTTTTTTTAGGTAGATTTTTTTAAGCTTTTTTAATTTATTTCTATTTATTACTTTTTTAAAAAATAATTATATATTTTTATTTTTTTATTATATTATCTATTATTATATCTTGTTTTTTTTTTAAATTTTTTAAAAAAAATTCGCGTTTAAAGTTATATATACCGCCCGTTTTCGTTTAGTGGCTTTAAGGCTTAATAAGACCGAATAATAGCTAAGTTTTTTCGTCGTAATAAAGAGAAAAAAAAGCGCGTTTATAAAATTAAGCGCTAGCGTATTTTTTAGTAGTAATAATAAGTTTTGATTTTTTTAGCGCTTATTTTTATGCTTTTTTTAATTTTTAGTATTTATCCGTTTTAATTTTTTATAGTATTATATTTAATAATCCCGATTTTCCTCGTTTTTCGGTTAAATCGCGTTTTTTTATTTAAAGTAATTTAAGCGCCGGTAAAGCTTTTAGGTCTGGTTTTTTTGCTTTTTTTAATCGAGGAGTTTTTAGAATTTTAGTTCCGATTTAGCTTTTAGCTATTTTTGGTAATTACGTTTACACCTCCTTTAGTAATTACGCCCTTTTTATTCGTATTTTTCGCGATTAATTATTTAAAATAATTAATTTTACCGAAAATCGTAAGCAATTTATTGCTTTTTTTGCTTATTTTAGTAATAAAAAGGGTATTTTTATATTTATTTTTTTATTTATAACTTTCGTTACCCGTCGGCAAAAATTAAGGAAAATAATTTTAAGCCTTTTGTTTGTCGCTTTAAACGTATTATTCGTATTTAACGTAAAAAATTAAAATATTTAGCTAACACCCTTAAGCGCGTTGTAAAGGTTTCGGAAATACGCAATAATATTTTTTGCGTTTATTATATTAAAGCTGCTATTATTAATCGTATATATAAAAATATACCGGTTAATAGCAAATATTTTTAGATTTTAGGAAATCGCTATTATTATTATAATAAGGGTCGCGATAATTATAAGCTTATATAAATTTTTTTTAACTTATATTTCGCTTTTTATACCTTTTAAAATATAAAAATTAATATTATAATAATTATTTTAGTATTATTTTTTTTATATAGCGCTATATAAATTATTTTTATAATAAGGCTTGCGTAAAGCGTAAATATTATATTATTTTTAAGGTTGT